AATGTTTCATGACAATTTAGTACAAACGAGGATCATGGCACGACAATAGTCCTCTAGAGTCGTAAATAATAATGCAAAGGTATGTAAGACTTTCTATTGTGCTAAAATTACGAATAAATTAACTGGATTTAACTTAATGTTAAGGGATGTGAGAACTCAAAATAATAAAGGATAATATATAATGAGATAACCCTAATTGATAAGGTTTACGTCATTAAGGACATAAGTTACCATATTTCGCGAATAAAGATGAATTGATTTGATTTGACAAAAGTGTGTGATCTAATTACATTATATTTTGTTTTAAAAATGCGATCACAGTGCTTTGCCGATTCTTCACGAAAAGTTTTAATTTTAATTACATATCGCTTCTCTCCACTCTCTTTTAAATATTCTTCTTGTCAGATTTTAATTAGCAACGTGTTTAAGGAAAGCCGAATCGAAGAGTATTACGAAAAAGGTTCGCGCGTTTATCGAGGAAAGATGGCGTCGGTGGCCGGTGGTGGCGAACGCTGTCAGGTACCGGTGGGAGCGGTTGACGTGGAAAGGGAGGGGGTCATTGACCGCCCGGGGCCAGTACAAGCGGCCGCCCCGCGAAAAGGTTCAAATAATCGCGCTAAAAAGGACAGATGCCCTTTATGTTTACGTCCCATACGAAAGCCGGTACGCGGCGGCGGTTTTGGGTCTCAAAATTTAGTCATATTATACACAAAAATTCTGTTAGCTTTTATGTATATAAGCGAATCACAACTTATCTTCACTGCTAATATAGATGGTTTTAATTTGTGGTGAATTAGATAGTTAGTCTTTATTTGTTAAAACATGTATACGTTGCATGCAAGATATTAAACAGTGTCCTATCATTTCTATACTATGTATATTCCTAGAATAATGGAATAACATAATTTGTTATTTTGCTGGGTTGTTTCATTTTTAAGGTTAATGTCAAAAGTTGCATTACCCCAGATTAGGGTAGGTTGAATTTCATTGAAGTTATATCTTTGCTAAAGCTTTTAGTAAAGAAAAGTAAAGTTGATAGGTTACTATCAATCAAAAATCGATCAAATTAAACACGTCACTCTACTGCGGAATGACAGAAAAACATACTTCACATAAATTATATTCGAAATACTTTTTATTATTATTGCGAAAATATGCTGGTTCCGTCACAATGTTTTCCTTCACCGACGAGCACTTTATAAGTTGGCATTTAAAATGGAAATCAACAATTTCATTGGTGCTGGCACCGTTAATTAATAAGTGCTGTTGTAACCTATCTTCGTGATGAAACTTGCATATACGAAAATTTTCAAAAAATGTTTTGGGGACATTTAAAATAGGCCAATTGGCAAAAAAAGAGTAGCCGGCTGCGCCCTACTTACACACAGAAAAGGCATAGATGTAAAGCAAATGGGTTGCTTTTCACGTAACACGGTAGCGAGCGATGCGGTTCACCTGATGTTAACTGATTACCGTCGCCCATGGATAGCTGCAACGCCCGTGAGGATGCGGCTGTGTTGCCAAGTTTAATAACAGTCTCTTCCGGCTGACTTTTGTGCGAACATGAGACTTCTACCGATGAGCCCTTTATTCGAGTATGCTGCAGCAATATCGCAGTTAAGCTGAAGTTACATTCGCCATTCAAAACACTTATCACTTCAACCGTGGTAGGGGCGCGCAACAGGTTTCGCTGTTGCACGAATGGGCAGGTCCGTCCGTGTAAGTAAGACTACCTCACAGAAGACCGGCGTGAAGTGGAAGTGTTGCACTTCTGCGTTTCGTCTAGTGAGTGGTAGCGAGGGCCGGCTTTAGTAAAAGGTGGCAACGCATCTGCCACCCTACGGGTGTTGTAAATGTCGATGGGCGATAGTTATCAGTTACCATCAGGTGAACTGCCCGCTTATCAATTATTAAAGAAAAAGAACTTAAAGGAAAATGTAAGGGCGTGTGCAAGGCAAGAGATTTTTGTGCTTACCACTCACCAACAGAAGATCCTCTAGATCTAGCCGTCTGCCAACTCAGTCAGATGTAATAATGCGTACGCGGGGCCTAATTTCGGCGGAGCACATTTGTCTCGTCCCACGGGTGGGAATTAATTGCCATCGTTCATCTTCTGGTCGTGCCGTTTGACGCTGTGCGGTTTCGCAGGCGGTGTCCCTGCGTTACCGATGGGATCAGTGACGTGTTTCATTTGCGACTTGTTTATCTCGAGTTCTCAACGCGTATAGTCTTCGCTGAACATTATCAGCGGATATAAAGTCATCCAAGATCGAAAGCAACTGCTGTTATTCTCGAGGGTTGGCAACATTTCTTCGTTGGGTCATATTTTGAAATATATGTTATGCGACAGAAAGTCGCCACATATTTTGTACAGTACGTATCTATCTATAAGTTAAACCTCTATAACAACTTCATATTTATAAAAACTATATCAAATGTCAGAGAATAAAGATCAAGGAATATAAATTTTTGCCTACTCACTTATTACAGTTGAGTGCCTCACAACCGTACCACAATTTCATATTTAAGTATAGCATAAATATTGCTGCTATATTTATTGGAACATCGTAAATTTATTAAATGCAAATAAATTTGCTGTTTTATTCGTTTTTCGAAAATTGCAATTTAACACATGCCTGAAATTCCCAGACTTAATGCGGGCACAAAAATGTTCCACATCGCTGACCCCATCCAGATCATGAACTAGCTCTATACAAATAATCACGTCGATACCTTACTCCATCCAACAAAAATTACAAATATAATTTCGCATAAGCACGGATTGGTTATTTAAAGAATACTTTCGTGTGAGAAAGTAATCTCAAATATCTAGATTTATAGGTGCGCCGCATATACCCACTTCTATTCAAAAACATTCTGAAACAATTCCTTGTGTTATTGCGAATGAAACCTTAGATTAATTATGACCAAAAACCTATAGAAAATCTAATACTAATATATAATCATTGTAACACATTTGTGTAAATGAAACAGAAAAGTGATTAAGAGTTTATTCGAGCTTCGTGCCGGTTATTTTTCGGTTGGTCATAGATTGGGCGTTTAAGCGAGCCCGGAGAAAGGTTTGATTGGATTAAAAAAAACACTATTCTACGTATAACTGGCAACACTAAAAGTCAGAGCTTGCAAAAGGAGCGAAGTGTACCGCAAGGCACGGGCACCATCACGCAGTCTCCGGGCGGTAAATCTGGAGCAGGGGTGCCGCGAAGGTCGCCGCCCCCTCGCCATCCCATTTACAACCCTCCGCTCCCGGGTCTCGGCGAGGGGTGGGTAACCACGTTACATACCTCACTACCTATCATTAACATATTTCCCGCGAATCATTCTGTTCGCTCCCACCGCGGCACATCGACCCTACGTTACACGTAATAGGATATTTTGTAAGAGATTCAATACTTCGCGTTTAAAATTAACTGAATAATTCAAACATATAATTAGTGGCGTGATCGCACTTCGAGTTCGTTAACCCGGGAGATACCTTTTTTGGATGATTAATTATCTTTCTAAAAATTGAATTAACAACGCCATTTATGTACTAACCGTTTCGTTTTTGATTAGTTGTTAAATCAATTTACCGTCGTGTTAATTTTAGCATTACGTTATTGCATCTTGTCAGCTATTGACGTCTCTCAGCGAGGCCGTTACTGGTGCGAATTCGGTGCGAGTGTTAATCTTGTTATACGTCAGCGGCATGAAACCTATAAAGGCGTGTTAAAAATACCATCTATAAAGTTTGAATGCTCCAATCTTGCTCGATGAAACATGAATGTGGTTGTACTTCTATTATCACACGAGTAACGACTTGGGAGTCTTCGGCAAAATTAAATTGCATCGAATAAAGTGTTTCGTACTCGGAAGTAACTGTTTGTAGAGTTCAATACTGGGCGGTTTGCAAAATGCAATCGGGGCTGTTCAGCGTTAGAATTGTCTATTCTATACTCAATGACCTCACTTATGTTGGCGCTGGCAACACTGTATACCGGATATGACGTTAACTTCTCGAGCGAAGGGACACATGGTCGCATGGAGCAGCGGTCACTTGCTTCTCGACTGAGTTCCCGGACGGTGATATAACCACTAGTGCTGTTTGTCGTTATAATGGTTGTTAATATTCAAGTCCAGAATTAGTTTAAATATTAGAATCGAAGTAATAATATTAGAACTCTTATACTTATGACTGTGACTGCAACAGAGATAAACTGATTTCATACTGCAAGAGACTCCTAATACAATGATTAATAAATGTTTCAATTTTTTTAAAATACTAACGATTAAATTTCTGTGATGTCGTATTATACATAACTAGCGACCACCCCAACTTCGCACTTGATCACTATCTTGAATCACTCTATCTAGTTAAAAAAAAACCGCATCAAGATCCGTTGCGTAGTTTTAAAGATCTAAGCATACATAGGGACAGAGAGACTGCGAGATGACTTTTTAGAGTCTCATAGCTGCATCTGCTCTGGAATGCTGTGTAATCTTCCGGAGAAGGTCTTACTATAAACTAAAGTAAACTGGAAGTATTTCTGCAAATAGCAAAAGCTATACGTCCGGTAGATGAGGGCCCACTTTTGAAGTTAAGCATGCAATTTTTTGCCACTGCAAATAAATAAGCTATGTAGAAACTTTTGTAAACATAACCATTTAATTGTGTCACGAATTCTATATAAGAATATGGTAGGGCCCCGCAACAGCATCGGCTGTTGCACGAACAGGCAGGTCCGTCCGGGGAAGTACCGCGACCTCACGGAAGACTGGCGTAAAGTGGAAGTGTCATACCTCTGCGTCTCGTCTGCTGGGTGAGGTAGCCGGGGCTCACTTTATTAAAAGGTGGCAACGCATTTGCAATCCTACGGGTGTTGCAAATGTTTATGTGCGGCAGTTGCCACTTTTTCACATAAAAATAAGAATGCTCGAACGTAACGTTGTTAAACATTTCATAATAAAGTATAATCTAAGACACAACTATTCATTTACAGTTTGGAGTCATATTGGTTGCGGCAGAGGGAGTGAAATACTTTAAGTTAAGAAAGCCAAGCGAAGACACGGGCGCGTATCTGCGTCAGAACTGCGCAATGCAATATCGAGAACCGCGAACGCTTGCCAATGGGAGAAGTTGAGGATTTATGAAATAAAAGCTGTTTACTTCCGCTGTCCCGGCCAAAATTCCCGCACAATAGACTCATTGGATTCCTTGTTGGAAGACCACGTTGGATGCATTCCGAGAAAAGTTTTCATTCCACTTCTGATCCGTCGCCAAACAGAACAGAATTTCGAGGCTTTGCAGACAGCGGTGACAGCGCTCAAATAGATGAATCCACGTCTTTAATCAATCCAAGTATTTTGTAACACCACACTGTATACCATGTTTAGATGCAAAAATATACTATTATTATTATTTAGTAATTGATAAATGAAAGGTTTACAAAGATTTACTTGGTTATTTTTTATGTTGAAATCTTATTACACTGTCATGTTGCAATAACTTGTGTTACTTTGAATGTCGCAGTGACATAAACCTATTAAAGAGTACATATACATCAATGACCCATTTATCTATTCACAGTCTGCAGTAACCTACGTTAATTTATGTAAGCCTAATGACTAAAGAAATAAAATACTTATGGTTAATAAAGAAAGAAAATCACCGGGCGGCCGACAAAAGTAGACTTTTAAAAAGCGTCGCTTTGGTTAATACTGTAATGATGTACCCTAACTTCACTTGTTTTACCACAAAATTATTAATATTTCTTCATGAATAATACTAGTATCTCTAGTAATAAAAAAAGAATCCTTTTTCGTTGTCTATTCCTATGTTATCAACAATTCCTTTGTTAATATCTGATATTATTTTTAGTTTAATTTATTCACTATCTTTTTTAATTTCATTTGTTTGGCAAGTGAGCAAGTATTCATTCTGACTTACTTGCGCCACGTACTGAGCGTGAATCCTTTAGTTAACCCCCTCACCAAGCAAGATGCACAAAACTACTCGCTACTTTTACTTACTGTTGTGGAGTTGTGCTGGTCGTCCTATCCATGCAAGTCGTTTTATGGAAGCTATTAGCTTAGGTGCAATCAATACTGAGAATTGAGTTTCTACCAAACTTTACTCCATGACACGGTCTACGGAATAAACTCTATTAGGGTAAACAAAAAACTGCTGGCGAAGTCATTGGCTTGGATGTTGTTTACACGCCCAGCCGTTACCCACAGATCTAGCACATAAAACGCAGATAGCTAACTATAGCGAAGAATCCCTGGAGGTAAAGAACGCTACATTTTTTCTAATCACAAATATTCTAAATTAAATTAACGTAAACAAATATTCGATTAATTTATGCAGTGATAGATGCAGCTGCTGAATATAGATGTAGCGAAAGGTCGATTTTAAATAAAACGCACTGTCACTATAAAATCACTTTCAAATTGAGTGTTTGGTGTCAAACAAATATGTCTATATGGCGGACGCAAGTGTATACGTAACAATACTAGAATTGAGATAATCACATTTTATACTTGATCTTGAAAAACCCACGAAAAGATTTGCGAATTATATTATAATATTGTATAAAAACTCATTCAATGAAAAGAATTAACAAACTATCATGTTTTTAAAGTTTTAAATCGCTGGCTGTAGAATTTTTGTTAGTATTTACCGTCACGGGTGAAATATTGAAACAAAAAAAAACTGTCGCTATTTTAAGCAACTCTTATTCGTAGATTTTTGCTTGAGAAAGAAAAGTTACAAAAAAGAAAATTCCTGCGGAATGTCTGTGGCCTGTTTCTCCTCCGTTAGAGGAAACTCATTAGGAAACGGTTGTAGATTAAAAGAGAAGACTATCGATAGAATGGAATGTATGTTTCTTATGTCGATGAATAAATTATTTCGATTTTGATTTAGTCTTTTGACTACAAACTAGAGTTCCAATAAATACAGCCTCGACGTCCCATAAACCGTTATGGGGCGTCGAAGCTGTATTTATCTGCTGTTTCATCATCATCGGCCGGAAGGCGTCCAGTAAGTCCGCGTAACAATGGAGAGGCACTAAGAATACGACGATGGCAAGTTTTAGCTAGTGTTTACAATTAGAAAACTTCATAATCATTTCTTGTATTTACGCGATTACACATTACTTAATGAAACTATGTTTACGGATTTATCGATCGGGTATTAAATCCAAAATAAACGCGATAAATCCGTAAACATTGTTTCATTTAGAAAACTTCATGTTTAAATTAACACATGCATTTTAACCGTCACTTTCGTACGGATCGCTTTAACTTTTCTTTAATACAAAGCTTCCTCGACTGTATAAGGACGTAATTTTGCGTAAAGGAGAATTTCAGGCGTGCACAAATTCTACAACGGCACAGCCAGAACAATTACATTCAGCAGCTGCATCTAATGCAACTTCAAATTCAATTTTTTTTCCAATCCCTGTCTATTTTGTATGACCATGTAAAGATGCACAGAGCACTTATCTCACAGAAATTCTGGTTTTCACGAGTTTATTTCTCGCCCATACTTTTCGCTAGAGTAGCTAAGTCTAACACCCACTGGCTTATCGTGGCGGCTCTACTCGCCAAATGCCGCGGGTGCGTCGGTGGCGGTTGGCAGAGCGGTTCGGCGGAGCGGCAACGTCGCGCGCTCTGTAGGATGACCATACGCTCTAGGTCTATTTGAGACATTTAATACAATATTCTCATTATCAATTTTATGTATATGCCATAGTTATAATTTCTAAGGAATGCTTTAATATATTATTGCCGACACCGCACTATTGACGTGCCTGGGGCAAAATTAAATAATTAAAAGTACCGACATTAATTTGCTTTATAGGAAAATAAAAGAAAGATATAATTCGTAGTTATGAAATGTAGAAATGTAGGTGGTACATTGTTCCTACATTTCATAATGACGTAACAGAAAAAACAAAAAACTTAAGATTGTTTCGTGTACACAGTAGTCCGAGGTAAATGAATGGCGGTTTTTTTCATATTCTTGCCTTGTTTTTCTGTTACTTTTTCTATTTAAGAAGAAATATTTAAATTTAATTATAAAATACTATATTGAGAAGACACAATTTTTTTACAGGGTGCAAGGCCGTATGCGAGATCCAAACGTTTGTATCAGTTTTTCAAATTACCAGACTGGAACAAACATGGGTAAATGATCACCTGTATGTCGCCTGGCTAACAAATATAGCAAAAATGTTGAGTTGATATTATATTCTCATATCATGTTGGTATTTTCAGAACTTCTAATTTCTATTAATAAATTGTATGAGATCAACACCATAGCATGAGATGAAAGTAAGAAAGAGGTAAAATTATTGTCCAATTTATTAAATTACATTATTTTACATCATTTCCCCCGGTTCTTCTCAGGTTGGTAGCTTTCCTTCCGAACCGGTGGTAAAGTTTTTTGATTATCAATAAGTAAGTGTAATACTTCTATATTGAATAAAGATATTTGACTTTGACTTTTCTTAGATTAATTTATAAATATTTCTATCTTCTTTTTGTGTTTCATAGCTTGTTATTGATGTTTATCTCTCCATTTTTTTATCCCAAATAAATAAAACGAAAAATAATGTTTGAATACTATTGCTTAAAGTTGTCGCTAGAACTAATAATCTATGAGTTCTAAGTATCGTTACAATTGTCATTTTGTCTGATGGCAAAATCACCAATTCTGGACGATTATTGAAACAAGGAGCGATAGCTTATAACTATTATAGTGTCACAAAGAAAAAGACTGTTCTGCCCGTCCAGAGAGTAACCGTATAGGTGAAACTTTTCACACAGTGCCAACGCCAGTTATTGAATCACTGTGATGTCTGACACCGCATTGTTTGCAGTGTCACCCATTGTTTGCAGGAATCCATTGCGCACACCACACTTACCGAGTATTGCGAATACGAGACAATCTCGTGTCGTTCTGGGCGCTTGTCTCTGGTATTTTTTATTTGTATGCGTATATACTCGGTAAGTTAAGGTTATAAACCTTTGGATGCTGAATGATATCTAGTTGACTCCTGTCCTGTACGACTTCGTGCAAGATTTTGTCAATTCGAGGTGTGAACTTCCCAGCTGATGTAATCTGATGCTCTTGTTACTGAAACTGTGGTTCTGAAAAAAACCTGATTCACATTTTAAAATTGTATCATCGGTTTTTACAGATATAATGTAAGATTAAAAGGCCCGTAAAGTACAATACGTTCAGGTATATTTGCTAGGAGCGGGTAGGAATTCTCGAGAGATTAAGGAGCTAAAAAAGTGGAGCATCTCACAAATTATGTACATTCAACATTTTTGAGGTAGAAGACAGAGAGATACGTGTGACGCGTGTTATTTAACCTATTTAGTGCTATGGGGTATAAGGGAAGGGTGGTGTGATAAGATGTCACCTTGCTATGGGTTCAAATGTGCGAGTAGTTTTTGCACGTAAGATGTTCTTATAACATACGCTAACTGGAACTTCTTCTATGACTATATTATATTTTACGTTAGATTTATCGAAACAATCCAGCTTAGTACTTCATTACAGCTATAAAAACAGACCGAACTGGCACCATAGCCAATTAGCCATTAAAAGCAGCTGTCATCTACTAAATGGCGCCATTTTTGTTTATGTCAAATAATAATCCGCGGGAAAGATTTCTGCTCACATTACGTACCGATCAACTATCGAGATGCACTATTATCGAAATGTATCAAAAATAATAGAGCATCCACCTGAATCCGACGGTTCGCGACGTACGCGGTGCTATTTTGCTGCATCGCGGAGGAACGACAAACCAGGTGCAGTAACCGTTGTGCAAACGCAGTCGCACCGTCGCCCGTCCGGCTATGCGGGATGCTACAAGTACAAGCTACAATACACGCGTAGATAATATAACTCTGTGTACGATGCAGTGGAGTGGCCGTTGTAGGCCGGTTTACGGGACATTCCAGTGGGCTTAGTGAAAATTGGTCGATTTATTAAAATGTATTCAGGTTTACTAGTTCTTTAAGCGCGATAACTCAGTGTCCGGGCTCGCTTTTAACTCAACATACTCAACTCATATATCGTTACTTCGTGATTTACCACACGCTCGGCGGTATAGGAAAATATAATGAGGGGACCTGCTTAATGAAACATTTTGGAAATTTGTGAAGCCTGCCAATCCGCAGTGTGGCCGTATGGCTAACTTCGCACAAAATCTTTTTATAGTGGCCACTTTATTTTACCATCAGTCGAAAGTATAATAGGTACATAAGCTATTATACTTCACTTTACAGCGTACATTTAACCTCTAGTTCATAGTGTCATAGTAATTTCATATTTTTATATCAGTTACGGTTAAATATAATATTGAAGTAATGACCCACACCCTGCTATTAATTTTTACACTGTTCATAATTATTATTTAATATACAATTTATGTATTGTATATAATATTTCAGTGTAGAGATTTTTAACGCTCCAAAACAATTTATGTGTTAATTTTATTATTGAGTAATAGATAATTGTAATAAATACTGGGTTAGTAGGCCATCCTGAAGATAGAAAATATCATTATATATATTTCAACATGCCCCAGGCACGTCAATAGTGCGGTGTCGGCAATAATATATTAAAGCATTCCTTAGAAATTATAACTATGGCATATACATAAAATTGATAATGAGAATATTGTATTAAATGTCTCAAATAGACCTAGAGCGTATGGTTATCCTACAGAGCGCGCGACGTTGCCGCTCCGCCGAACCGCTCTGCCAACCGACACCGACGCACCCGCGGCATTTGGCGAGTAGAGCCGCCACGATAAGCCAGTGGGTGTTAGACTTAGCTACTCTAGCGAAAAGTATGGGCGAGAAATAAACTCGTGAAAACCAGAATTTCTGTGAGATAAGTGCTCTGTGCATCTTTACATGGTCATACAAAATAGACAGGGATTGGAAAAAAAATTGAATTTGAAGTTGCATTAGATGCAGCTGCTGAATGTAATTGTTCTGGCTGTGCCGTTGTAGAATTTGTGCACGCCTGAAATTCTCCTTTACGCAAAATTACGTCCTTATATCGTCGAGGAAGCTTTGTATTAAAGAAAAGTTAAAGCGATCCGTACGAAATGACGGTTAAAATGCATGTGTTAATTTAAACATGAAGTTTTCTAAATGAAACAATGTTTACGGATTTATCGCGTTTATTTTGGATTTAATACCCGATCGATAAATCCGTAAACATAGTTTCATTAAGTAATGTGTAATCGCGTAAATACAAGAAATGATTATGAAGTTTTCTAATTGTAAACACTAGCTAAAACTTGCCATCGTCGTATTCTTAGTGCCTCTCCATTGTTACGCGGACTTACTGGACGCCTTCCGGCCGATGATGATGAAAACAGCAGATAAATACAGCTTCGACGCCCCATAACGGTTTATGGGACGTCGAGGCTGTATTTATTGGAACTCTAGTTTGTAGTCAAAAGACTAAATCAAAATCGAAATAATTTATTCATCGACATAAGAAACATACATTCCATTCTATCGATAGTCTTCTCTTTTAATCTACAACCGTTTCCTAATGAGTTTCAGGCGTGCACAAATTCTACAACGGCACAGCCAGAACAATTACATTCAGCAGCTGCATCTAATGCAACTTCAAATTCAATTTTTTTTCCAATCCCTGTCTATTTTGTATGACCATGTAAAGATGCACAGAGCACTTATCTCACAGAAATTCTGGTTTTCACGAGTTTATTTCTCGCCCATACTTTTCGCTAGAGTAGCTAAGTCTAACACCCACTGGCTTATCGTGGCGGCTCTACTCGCCAAATGCCGCGGGTGCGTCGGTGTCGGTTGGCAGAGCGGTTCGGCGGAGCGGCAACGTCGCGCGCTCTGTAGGATGACCATACGCTCTAGGTCTATTTGAGACATTTAATACAATATTCTCATTATCAATTTTATGTATATGCCATAGTTATAATTTCTAAGGAATGCTTTAATATATTATTGCCGACACCGCACTATTGACGTGCCTGGGGCATGTTGAAATATATATAATGATATTTTCTATCTTCAGGATGGCCTACTAACCCCCAGTATTTATTACAATTATCTATTACTCAATAATAAAATTAACACATAAATTGTTTTGGAGCGTTAAAAAAATCTCTACACTGAAATATTATATACAATACATAAATTGTATATTAAATAATAATTATGAACAGTGTAAAAAAAATTAATAGCAGGGTGTGGGTCATTACTTCAATATTATATTTAACCGTAACTGATATAAAAATATGAAATTACTATGACACTATGAACTAGAGGTTAAATGTACGCTGTAAAGTGAAGTATAATAGCTTATGTACCTATTATACTTTCGACTGATGGTAAAATAAAGTGGCCACTATAAAAAGATTTTGTGCGAAGTTAGCCATACGGCCACACTGCGGATTGGCAGGCTTCACAAATTTCCAAAATGTTTCATTAAGCAGGTCCCCTCATTATATTTTCCTATACCGCCGAGCGTGTGGTAAATCACGAAGTAACGATATATGAGTTGAGTATGTTGAGTTAAAAGCGAGCCCGGACACTGAGTTATCGCGCTTAAAGAACTAGTAAACCTGAATACATTTTAATAAATCGACCAATTTTCACTAAGCCCACTGGAATGTCCCGTAAACCGGCCTACAACGGCCACTCCACTGCATCGTACACAGAGTTATATTATCTACGCGTGTATTGTAGCTTGTACTTGTAGCATCCCGCATAGCCGGACGGGCGACAGTGCGACTGCGTTTGCACAACGGTTACTGCACCTGGTTTGTCGTTCCTCCGCGATGCAGCAAAATAGCACCGCGTACGTCGCGAACCGTCGGATTCAGGTGGATGCTCTATTATTTTTGATACATTTCGATAATAGTGCATCTCGATAGTTGATCGGTACGTAATGTGAGCAGAAATCTTTCCCGCGGATTATTATTTGACATAAACAAAAATGGCGCCATTTAGTAGATGACAGCTGCTTTTAATGGCTAATTGGCTATGGTGCCAGTTCGGTCTGTTTTTATAGCTGTAATGAAGTACTAAGCTGGATTGTTTCGATAAATCTAACGTAAAATATAATATAGTCATAGAAGAAGTTCCAGTTAGCGTATGTTATAAGAACATCTTACGTGCAAAAACTACTCGCACATTTGAACCCATAGCAAGGTGACATCTTATCACACCACCCTTCCCTTATACCCCATAGCACTAAATAGGTTAAATAACACGCGTCACACGTATCTCTCTGTCTTCTACCTCAAAAATGTTGAATGTACATAATTTGTGAGATGCTCCACTTTTTTAGCTCCTTAATCTCTCGAGAATTCCTACCCGCTCCTAGCAAATATACCTGAACGTATTGTACTTTACGGGCCTTTTAATCTTACATTATATCTGTAAAAACCGATGATACAATTTTAAAATGTGAATCAGGTTTTTTTCAGAACCACAGTTTCAGTAACAAGAGCATCAGATTACATCAGCTGGGAAGTTCACACCTCGAATTGACAAAATCTTGCACGAAGTCGTACAGGACAGGAGTCAACTAGATATCATTCAGCATCCAAAGGTTTATAACCTTAACTTACCGAGTATATACGCATACAAATAAAAAATACCAGAGACAAGCGCCCAGAACGACACGAGATTGTCTCGTATTCGCAATACTCGGTAAGTGTGGTGTGCGCAATGGATTCCTGCAAACAATGGGTGACACTGCAAACAATGCGGTGTCAGACATCACAGTGATTCAATAACTGGCGTTGGCACTGTGTGAAAAGTTTCACCTATACGGTTACTCTCTGGACGGGCAGAACAGTCTTTTTCTTTGTGACACTATAATAGTTTTAAAGCTATCGCTCCTTGTTTCAATAATCGTCCAGAATTGGTGATTTTGCCATCAGACAAAATGACAATTGTAACGATACTTAGAACTCATAGATTATTAGTTCTAGCGACAACTTTAAGCAATAGTATTCAAACATTATTTTTCGTTTTATTTATTTGGGATAAAAAAAATGGAGAGATAAACATCAATAACAAGCTATGAAACACAAAAAGAAGATAGAAATATTTATAAATTAATCTAAGAAAAGTCAAAGTCAAATATCTTTATTCAATATAGAAGTATTACACTTACTTATTGATAATCAAAAAACTTTACCACCGGTTCGGAAGGAAAGCTACCAACCTGAGAAGAACCGGGGGAAATGATGTAAAATAATGTAATTTAATAAATTGGACAATAATTTTACCTCTTTCTTACTTTCATCTCATGCTATGGTGTTGATCTCATACAATTTATTAATAGAAATTAGAAGTTCTGAAAATACCAACATGATATGAGAATATAATATCAACTCAACATTTTTGCTATATTTGTTAGCCAGGCGACATACAGGTGATCATTTACCCATGTTTGTTCCAGTCTGGTAATTTGAAAAACTGATACAAACGTTTGGATCTCGCATACGGCCTTGCACCCTGTAAAAAAATTGTGTCTTCTCAATATAGTATTTTATAATTAAATTTAAATATTTCTTCTTAAATAGAAAAAGTAACAGAAAAACAAGGCAAGAATATGAAAAAAAAAAACCGCCATTCATTTACCTCGGACTACTGTGTACACGAAACAATCTTAAGTTTTTTGTTTTTTCTGTTACGTCATTATGAAATGTAGGAACAATGTACCACCTACATTTCTACATTTCATAACTACGAATTATATCTTTCTTTTATTTTCCTATAAAGCAAATTAATGTCGGTACTTTTAATTATTTAATTTTGACTTGGCTTTCTTGAGCTGAAAAATTTTCTAATTATTATTATTTCATGCAGTATTTTATTATTTAGCATCAAATAATTACAAATAGACAATTTTTTTACGTTCAAGTTTAGTTTATTTGTCGTTTAGATTTTATTTTTCATTTGAATATTAATTTTCATCTTTGTTATTTTTGCCGTAAGAACACTATGTCTCATTGATTTTACTTAGGAACCAATCAATAAAAAAATGTAATTAATATTATTTATTATGTCCAACATATATTGGCCTTTGATTATAGTAGATTGTATTTAGAGTAAAATATGACTAAAGAGGAGTCATCGTTTGTGATTGTATTTATTGTGAAATAATATTTTTAAGCATATGAAAACTAATCTTGTCGTGTTCGACGTTCTATTGTACGAAAGCTTTCCATTCATTAACATTCGTCTCGTTTGCATCGCGTGCGTGTATCGAAACAGCCGGCCATCCATAGTCCATTTGGATGTACGAAGAAAATCAAACTGTGTGAAGTGTAGACTGTCGTAAATTGTTTCGGCGCATTTCTGGCTCAATCCCGTGCGCCTGTTGAGGTGCGTCTGTACACGGCCCGGCTTAACCTTGACGCACACACACGCACAACTAGACCGCGTTGCCGCACACATACGAAAGAAAGCCTTTTTTCCACCGTACTCGTTCAACCACAACAATGATCGGTAAAAGGAAACTTTTGAAATGCTACTTTCACAAGCTGGGTCGGCATCGTTCATAAGAAATGGTTCGAGTCTCATGACTTATAACGTTGCGTCGAATATTATTTTATCTACTTTTATTTACAACAACATGTAAACTTTACGTAGAAGAATGCTTTGTGGTTAGTATTGTTTAACTGTTGTTTATAAAATTACTCGTCCTGGATTGTGGCACGTATTGTCGAAGCGTAAAAATAGCGTATGCATTACATATGCAATTGATATCAACAACGTTTACAACATATGCGCGATCAGAATTTTTTGCGAATTTCTGAAGGGCAAAGTCCTTCTAGAAATGTTACACTAGACCTGTTAATACTACAAGCGGTCCCCGACAGAAACCTTTTTTAAGTGTTTCAATAACATAAGGTAAAACTGATTTGCAATCAGCTTTACCTTAATTGCGAACAACAGATTTAGGTACCTACCTTAATTATAAACAATCCAATGAACAACAAACTTACACCAATTTGAACAAATTTTGGTTATACAACATATCACACACACACACATGACCACATCGTCCTAATTTTAATAATAACTTGAAGTATTCCCTGAAAATTCTCTACAAAGTTACTAACAAGTTATGTAAGTAGGTACTTGTAAGAACTTGGTCCGTAGGTCTTAAGAAGTTTAAGGATTTCGCACAAGTTAGAGGGGATGAGAGACGTTGGATACTTTGTTTAAAACTAAGTAACATCCACGATGAATATAATATAGAATGAATTAAATGTAGAATTTAAGAAAAATGTAGACTGTCTAACGCTTAGAAATATATTTAGTGGGTCAAGAAAATGGGCTCCAAAAATAAAAAAAAGCTAAATTTCGAAAAATACCCGAACTGCGGAAGGCCGCAAACAAACTTTGTTTTCTTGCTTTAATCCCATTTCACCTTCACCTAATATATTAGATAAAAACCAGTTGTAGGTAATCGTGAAATAAAAATAGTTTTAACGTTAACGTTTATCGTTAGTAAAGTCTTTCAAAGCTTACCCTTGCGTACTTTAACAACAAATTTATACAGATATTGTAAGTATAACTTTAATAAGTACGTTTAGTAAGTCTCTGAGATGTAGAGAAACCACATAACCATGAGTTTAATAGATTTGTTCTTTTTTATGCGTGATTTATCTATGTTTTTGACATTTCGCATATTAAGAAATGCGAAGAAGTAGAGTAACAATTTTAGGCGGGTTTCCAGCGGGTGCGTGGCCCAACTTTTCTCGGGCGCCTCCGCTCCGGCCGCGTGGCGGCTCGTCCGATCGATATTGCGACGTTGCCGTGCCGCCAGCGCCGGCCACTTGCCCGTCCTGCCGCCATGTTTATTTTTACCTTTTGTTGCCAATCAATTATTGGAGGGAATAATGACACCTGCGGACGACATTATCGCCCGTCCGTCGACTAGCCCCCCATTTCCCCTGCATTCATTGCAATGACGTACGAACTACAGAGTTACAATGTAGCGTTTACAGTTATTCGTTTACGTGATCTCCTTAGAGGGGCTTCTATATAAATTTGATCCTCGATCCCAAATTTGAGGATTAGATTACCTTTCATACCTCATGTACACGTTCTATATGATTTCGCTATGTCACCTATGTAGGTACTAGGTTATCGCTAGGAGTGTTGAGTAATATCTCAATGGATTAAGTCTCCATAAAACAGAGAGTACACCAAGATGGCGTTACAGTATCCATAAGTTATATACATTTCAAAGCGCTAAGCATTCTTAGAATATTCCCTACACTACGATATCAATTGACTATTCCGGTCTTTCTCTTATTTTATTGTTAGTCCCATTCTGGTCATTTCTTGATTCTTGAACATTTATCGTACACATTTTTGTTGCCTCTTTTTCAGGTAAAAGCTGATGTGAGATAGTAATATTCCTTACACTATACTCCATTGTTAACGTCTACCATTTACTGTATTCGCCCTTTGCGTTTTTAGCGTAATCGCTATATCAGATAATCTGCAATTTATTGTTGGTAAGTTTAAGTTTTTGACTATTTCCTGTCACACACTGAATTTATTTATGGTGCCCTGGACAGTTTATAAGATACTAGAATTATGGTATGATAAATTATAGTGGTTCATCTATATGATTCGGAGTTCTAAAGTTTGTTTTAACTCGAATGACTTGATTAATTTATCTTCAAAAGGAAAACATTGATTTTTTTTATATAAGTACCGGATTCCGAATAGAAAGGATTATATTGGTGTGCACATAATATAAATCAACAATTATTTTTTAGGCTTGGGGAAGCTTTACAAAGCATACCTCAACACTACTAAGAATAATTGCAACAAAATGTAGTAATAGTAAGCGGTAAGTAACGACATCTGTTGAGATAATATGTAAACCTTTTTCTACGGTATAATTTGAAAGGTTGGTATAATCATATGAGGACACTAAAAATTAACTAATTCAAAAGACTACCTTAAAAAATAATTTTCTTTTTCTTTATTTTCATTCATTATCATTGTAGGATCAGGTAAGCTGTGTTGTCATTTCTGAAACTTGAAAGTTGCTAGATGCATAACTTTATCGAAGGTAAGTAATAATAAAAATACAAAATATCTTTAAAATAAAATGAATTAAAAAAAATATTTAAATCCACGCTACAAGTAATAAATGTGAACCATTTAGAAAGTTAGTCGTATGTATAAAAATTAATATTCTCATTCATGCTTTCGTACGATGATTCCTAGTACTGAGTTGAAATTTTTCCCTTTTTGTTGGCAATAGGTCGAAAATTCTTGTTTATATCGTACACAATAAATTACCACAATCCTTTTTTTCGTGTTAAATTATTTGCTGCCTGCTCGGCAAGAGAGACAGCTGAAATATGTATTGGTTTTGCGCCGAAAGCCAAACTTTTTCAGTATCGTATTTTATAGAGATTCTTAAAGACTTTGTGATACTGTGATTCATCATAGTATTCCATCATATTTTAGATATATTCTTTTGCGTTTAGGTAGATTGTAATTTCCTTGCAATATTTTACATTTGTTTTCCAAATGTATTACGTAAATTATAGCCTAGCAAAAACATGAACTGTTTTGTGTTGTAACGGTCGTGGGCTGGTGCCATTGTATCCGACATATACGCACGTCGCACACATGGATTAGGTACCTACGCCGTGCTGTACGGTTTGACAATTGGATTTGTGATTATGTGACAGCACATATACAATTATAAATAGTGACCACATCACAAATATATCTTTGCGTATCTATACTATGCAAAAACTTGCAAATATTTTTCAATGAAGGAATACATAGATAATATAAAAATAAATCAATTGGAGTGAACTAAACAGTCATTAATATCTTCAAGAGTGCCGTTTTGAACCGAAGAAAAGAGATAAAACAAAATTTCGATTGAATTTTTCTTCAGTTTATTTTTATTCATTCATTAGTTCAAATTTACTACTTACTAAAATTTAGTCTATTATTTATAACGATCTTATAATACTTTAAAATTTACAAGCCTGTTATTAGCAGGATAAATAATACAATTACAAATTAACTTACCTATAAATCTATGTCCTACGAAAAAATTTAAATTAATTGTGACAACTGTAGAAAACTTACAGTTACAATATAAAACTTCTTAGATTTATGCCCAGTACTGATTCCGATTTCGTGTACTGATTCCGATCTAAGCTACTTGTCATCGTAATTATTTGAAAAGGGCGCGAAAAAGTGACATATGAAAATATTTTTTTTAGCCAACAAAAAATATTCCATTTTACGGTCTAATTTATTGAAAATTAAGCTGAATGATTTTAATATAAACGTAAAGTAATTACAAAGCTCAGTAGAAACTTAGAGTTACTTAGTAAGACAATGTTAGAACAAAGTTGCAATTTTAACTTGTGGAGGTGGAGTTGTTATTTAATCTTGTGTTTTGAGGTCTGTGAATGTAGACCGCTGGGTGGTCGTGCGGCGGCCGCTGGAGGCGCCCCGGGGCCGGCGGAGGAGGAGGCCTCGCCCTCGCCTGCTCGACCTGGATCCGTTGCGGCTGAACCACAATGTCCTGACGTGGGGGCATCGCTGGAATGCGTGAATTATCGCGGTTACTTTGTTATTTTAAACTTAGTCTGGAAGATAATTATGCGACAATGCTTCAGTCCAATAATACGAGGAAAATAACAGCAAGCAAACTAATAGATTTGTTTTTATTAGGTACGAATATACTTTTAGTATAATCGTACTATACTATATCCGATTTAATAATAAGCAACAATCTCAAGTTTTTTAGGGATGTTTTGTAGATTACATAATTTATGTTACCTACTTGACATGTTTTAAGGTTAATAGATACATTTAAAAATTACTACTTTATTTTCATAATTACGTATAAATTTTTTAGATTCTATTTAATACCTGGCGATATTGGCAATTTGATATTCATAACTTACACGCATTAAAAATTGTTGATCTGCTATTGTAGAAGTAATTTGCATGTACCTACTCATTAATGCATTTACAAAACGTTTTTTACACTTATCAACCAAATGTAACAACACTCACCGCCAGCTGAAGTTTTTGTTTATACGTATGCGCGTTTTTGACGTCAACCAATTAAAAAATAATATAACAGCTGAAAGGCGTAAATCTTCAACAGCGTATGAAAATATAACACATGTTTTTACTCTAAGATCTGGTCTATCGGCGTTTGATAAGATACAGGTTTTATCAGTAAGATTGTGTTGTTAATATTGTCATACGCCTTTATTGATGTGAGGGCTTTCTGTATTGTTTTTCAATCTTACCTCAAGAGTAAAATTGTTTTGAATAACAGAATTATCAGCACGTCAGTTTATAGCTTTATTAATCCCGGAAAAACAAAATAATTTTTTACTATTTATTTATACTATTTATAGTGGAGACGATACGTTTATACATCGGTAAAAATACCACATGTTAAGTTATCACAACTTTGTGATTAAGTTTATATTAAAATTTAATATAAACGTATATATGTGATTAATTTATTAGTTTTGGACGTATTCGTCTAAAATTATGTTTACCGGAAAATGCTACCTTTCTCGCACACGAGTTTAAATTTATTTAGTCTTAATTCCGCCGAAAATACGGAACATACTGACATACTAATTCATCATTATTTTTGATTACATATCAGACATGGTGAGTATTCACGACTGTTGTTGACTTATCGTTGTTATGGTTCTTAATCACCATACCACCTGTCCGCTATATCACATTAATCTGAAGTAAACTTCTGAGCCTCTTTGCAGTATTTCATTAAGAAGGCGAATAGGTTCAGTCCCTAGCCATCAAGCTAAATATTTATGATCCGGTATATATTTCAAATTATTCATATTAATATACCGTGTATCGATTGGTTCGAGTAGGTTTTCAATTGAATTTGATTAAAACACAATCTTATCTTTTTAAATAGCAATGAATTTATATGTATTTTCTAAAGAAAATGCTAATACTTCTTATATTTTACATACTTAGCAATTACACTTTCAAATTAATAACTTGAATTTGTAGTCCAATATATTAAGCTATGACGTTTTTATCGTTTGCTTATAAATCTCTTTATGGAAAGATATAAGTTAATTTGTAGTTTAATATAATGTATTTATCTGTTTTAGATAAAGAACAAATATAATTTTTAACAAAAAAAAAACCGACTTCAATCAGAAAATTAAAAACATTGTTAATACTTATAATATTTAATGATGGACCCTCGATTTCTCTGGGATGCCATCATCAGATCCGGGTTTCTTTATCATGGTACCACCATTGGCATATCTCCTTTACGACAAAAAAGAATCATAAAAAACGGTTCATAAACGACGAAGTTATCCGCGAACACACATAAAAAAAATAAAAATATATACGGTCGAATTGAGAAACCTCCTTCTTTTTTGCAGTCGGTTAATAAAAGACGTTAGGCCTATGAAATTTTTGCCTTTTTCATTTTATTAAAATCATCATCATAATCATCATCATTTGAGCCTGTTTGAGTCCACTGCTGAACATAGGCCTCCCCCATAGACTGCCTACGATCCTGAGCCACCTGCATCCATCGACTACAATTATTACAATATAGGTACTTATTTTTTCAATAACAGATAGGCTTTAACGGTGTTTATTTTTTTTATAAATAATTATTAATTTCCAAGTAATAAATAAATAATACAAGTAATCGTGAGATTTATTGGTTTTAGATTTATGTCATGAGGTGGCGGCGTTTTCATTTTCTTACATTGCGACATGGCGACATCTAAGAGTAATAGATTCAGAGTTTATAATCGACTATGAGAGTTGCATGCAACAGTTGCTATGATGTTAAGAGATGGCGGAAAAATAATTTTTTTTACAGTCGATCAATAATAGTAGCAATCAGCAGTCTATAGTAAAAGTAACAAAGCGTAAAAATTGTAATATAATTCTCTTAAATAAAAAATAATTCTCTTCCTTTATAAATAAAATGTTAAACTGAAACAACATTTATCTAGTCATCTTTATAAATGCTTATATGTATTTTTGGTTTATATTTAAGATTTCAGCGCTGGTTTAAACTAATAATATCATTGGAACTTTAGTACCATATATGCCCCACACGTCTATGCTATTCAAGCATATACGTGTGCGAAAATATTCGCACAGTGAGTATGATGCAATATTTTTAAGAAGTAATAAAAATAAAATTCTTCTATATAATATATTTTAAAAATTTTAGCTTGCATTAGACTTAACTTTTGTTTTTAGCATCCAGTGAACAGGCAACACTTTTCTGTGGTAATAGAATTTGCTAGATGTCGCCGTATGTCACATTCACGTTTTTAGCTGTCATTGTTCGTTTTCTAGATTTTTCTTTATTATTCTAGAAATTAAACTTGTCTTTATAAATACAAAGCTGATATTTGAAAAAAATATACTAATTCGTCATTGGATTGTGAACACGTTAGACTATAGTCTTTGTATAGCCATTGCTTTTATTTGAATATTTGTTTTATCACGAACATTAGCCATTGTTATTGGTGCGCGTTTGAATTCTTGTAAAATTTGCGTAGTTTACGAGCATTATGGCATCAAATAACTCAGAAAACCGGAATCAGATAGTTGGAGCGTTAACTTTTCCTGCCAGGGATGATAGTCATTTGGAGTCGGTGCCGATACAACCTAGACAGCCCCGAAATTTACAGGTATTGAAAGCCCTTATTTAAATCGAAATATATGTTAAAATAAATTTGATCATACGTACTACATTTACAATATGGTTGATCATTTTATATTAAAATAAAATTATATATATATATACATTATAATTATATATATATATATATATATATATATATATATATATATATATATATATATATATATATATATATATATATATATATATATATATATATATATATATATATTCTGAAGATAACTTCCAAGTCGTCCGTTTAACCTATTCAATAGGAATATTTCTTTGATTATAAATAGCTTGTATTTTACAGGGCCTTCTGAGATTCGCCATGGAAGCAACAAAAGCTGAGGATGCACCAGGTGTCTCTGAATTAGGTCCTATGGATGAAGAGGTAGATTCACTTTACCACTTTTTAGTTTAAAATTATTATTGTTTTTTCTACACTACAATATGCATGTATACTATATATTTAATACCTTCTTCTTTAATCACACTATACTTTGCTGTAAACTGCAATTAAATCTGTTGCATAATTAAAAAGATTAAGGGTACAAATAGCAGGAGCAACTTTGTTATAGACTGTGTAACGATGATATATTTTTTGTCTAAGTAACTTGAAATGTGCCTAGTCAAGTGTAATATATAATATGTTTTAATTTGTTGATCTGGACCTCTTGGAAACTAAATATTGTATTATCTTTTTAGAGAAGAAAATTTTTAGAGGAAGCATTGAAAAGCCTCACTGTTGATGTAGCAGAGGTTCTCCAGAAAGCAATCAAACTCCTTGTGGACACTGAAAAAATGCAAAGCATCCAACTTGGTCAAGACTTGCCTGAAGATGTTGCAATTGCGTTTAGTAACATTCATGAATTTGTGGTTGATATTGATGTGGCTAATGGTAAGTTATTTCTTTAGAAGAAATAGGTGCATACAGTTAAATTCAATGATGAAATATTAATATTTAATAAGTGGTGCATTAACCTTAGATTTTCTATATAGAAGTAATTATAATTTAATTAGTGTCTGTTCATTGACAATGGAATGTAGAGCAACAGAACAAAATAAACAAAACTACCATTGTGTTAGATAACTCTCTCACATTTTTTTTTTGATCTGGCGGTTCATCTGATGTTAAGTGATAACTGCCAGCCCATGGAAATTTGGAACAACTGTAGGGTTGCAGATGCGTTGCCACCTTTTAATAATGTCGTGACCGGCTACCTCACTCACCAGACTCAAAAGTGCAACACTTCTACTTTACGCCAGTCTTCTGTGAGGTCGTAGTACTAATCCGACGGACCTGCCCATTCGAACACTTTGTTGCCTTATTGCCTTGTTGCCTTGTTGCCTGTTGCCTTACCACCGTAGTTCTGTGTGGCCCTACCACCGTTCTGTTGCGTGGCCCTACCACCGTTCGTTCAATGGTGGACGGCATTGTACGCTATTGTGCAAAAAGTTTTTAAATACATAACTAAAGTAAATATTATTTATAATAACAGACTCCCTGAGTATTAGATTCACTTTGAAGCTAGACATTCAGATTTGTAATCTTCAGATCGAATCTCAATAGTGGACACCAACAAGTTTTTCAATATTTTGATTAAAAAAAGTCACCATTCCTTGCATATTTCTAGACTTGTCACATTTGAGTTTCAAACATCTACACAGTTAAGGTCCACAACAGAGGTTTGTAACCTTTTTTTTTTGTGTAAAAAGTTGCCAAGCGAGCAGACGGTTCACCTGATGTTAAGTGAATACCGCCGCCCATGGACATCCGCTACACCCGAGGGTTCTAGATGCGTTGACAATCTTTTGAAAATTGGGCTCCGGCTACCTCACTCACCAGACGAAACGCGACGAAAGTATCATACTCCCACTTTACGCCGGTCTTCTGTGAGGTCGTGGTACTTACCCGGACGATTCGTGCAACAGCCGAGGCTGCTGCGTGGCCCTACCACCGTCAAACGGGCGTTGAACAATGGGCGTGCTTACAGATTTCTACAAGTTGGGCGGCTTCGCAATCTTCCCCGTGTGCTTCGGCAGCGAGAACGCCACCGTCCGCTCGGAGGCCAGTTCGATCCTAGCCGAGGTGTGCCAAAACAACCCGTTCTGTCAGAACCGAGCTTTGGAGTCTGGTCTGCTTAATGTGCTCCTGCACTTAGTACAGTCCGAGGAGGGTGTAGCCCTCGCTAAGTGCCTCTATGCTATTTCATGTGAGTACTGAATGTGATTATTATAAAAATATTTATTATATTGTAATACACGCTAGCTGATCCGGCAAACGTTGTTTTGTGGAATCCATTGTAAAATCCATTCTTAGCTGACCTCTACTCGGCGAAAGGAATATTCCTACTTTTCCCTCCAAATTTCAGTTCCAGAGATATCGTGATGAGTTAATTATCGGTGAAAATCTCTTATATATTTATATAGATTGGGAAGTACTACGGCCTCACAGAAGTGAAGTGGAAGTATTAAATCGCGTTTCGTTTGGTGAGTGAGGTAATCGGGACCGACTTTTTTAAAGGTCTACGCATCTGCAACCCATCGGATGTTATAGATGTCCATGGGTGGCGGTATTCACTTAACATCACACGAACCGCCTGCTCGCTTGACAATTTTTCACAGAAGAAAAAATCTTCCCTGGAAGCACTTGCCCATTTGTGCAACAGCACAAGCTGTTGTGTGGCCCTACCACAGTAAATATATTCACTATTGCAAAATTATTTACCACAGTAAATTCTCTGTTTCTTCCGTCCATATCGTCGTGGTTGTGTAATTTAATACATTTAGTATTAAAATTAGTGGAAAAAAGGATGTAAGGTTTCTCACCGCTGCGGGAATCGAACCCACATCTTATGGATTCTCGCTTTAATAAACGGCTCTTTTTTTTCTACATTCTTTGATGCGTTGTCAACTCTTTGAAAATTGGTTTCCGGCAAGCTCACTCACCAGACGAAACGCGAAATTAATATACTTCCACTGCACGCCGGTCTTCTGTGAGGTCGTGATACTCACCCGGACGAGCCTGTCCATTCGTGCAACAGTATATAATGAAGGTATTTTGACGGCAGGCGTTACGCGTAACTTCGAGCCCGCTTGCCGCGAGCTCACCAGCCAGGGGGGCTGCGGCAGCCTGGCGCAGGTGCTGCGCTGCGGCGAGCCTCGCGCGCGCACCAAGGCGGCCTTCCTCGTCGCCTATTTGGGCAGGCACCACGCACAGGCGAGAGGTACGGATCGAATGACACCCTTTCCCGTACTAAGGTGGCGGGGAAGCTAGGTTTATCCGACGGCAAGTGATCATTGAACGACGACTATGACGAACTGACGACCCGAATGGCGTAGTGGGTAGTGTACCTGCTTTCTGCGCCAGAGGGTGTGGGTTCGATCCCCACTACTGGAAAAATATTGTGTGATGACCAATGTGATAGTGTTTTTCTAGTGTCTGGGTGTTTATATATGTATAATGTGTATTTATTTACAAAAGAAAGTATGTTTAAGTATGTCTATCAGTTATCTAGTACCCATAGTTGCATTATTAATAAATATTACCCCATTAAGCATTGCTTAATTTGGGACTAGGGAATGTTGTGTAAAAAATGCGTCCTTAAATATTTATTTATTTATTTATTTTATTGCCCCCCATGGACAATGCTATACAACAATTTTAAGTATTTTCGATTATTTCGTTTTAGTATTTACTCATTGCTTCCCATCACAAGTTCATTTTATTTGTCCAGTTAAAATCTGTAATGTTTCTGATTACAGCGCAATTCATTGAGAACAACACAATCGGGATCCTGGCCGGAGAGCTCGAGAGAGGTCTGGACGAGGGCACCTCGTGCGTCCTCAACGCGCTCTTAGCGTTAGTCGAGAGTTTGGACCCGGTCGCGCTGCAGCAGCTAAAAGACCCGAAGATTGGATTGAAGCAGGTACTGGAGAAACTCTCAAGCGCTCCGGAACTACAAGAGGCCGTGTATGACGACGAGCGAGAGAGCTTGAAGACCTTGGTGGAGATATTCGAGAAGGTTCCAGACATGGAGTTTGCGAATGAAGATGGAGCGGACAGGTAGATGAAGATCAGTGGGGTATCGTGAACGGGATTCCTTCAAGTTCAGTGATGAAGGGTCGGTTGTGGGGAAGAACAACCGACCTAGTGGAGTGGGCAGTAGTTCTTTCGTGGCCAGGACTGCAGTGAAAACTATGTTTTACAGAGCCGTGTGTGTAATGTTTACATAACCGGTATCGCATTTAATCAAGAATATGGTTTTGCTTATGCTGTGATTTTTTCTATTAAACCCACTAACTTATGATTCCAACAAATAACATGTGTTTTCAGACTTATTTGACACTGAGACATTGTAGGTGTTGTGCCAATGTTGTGCCAAGAGCTTGTCACTGTATCGATTTGAACTGATTCATAACAACACATTAGCAATATAATTGAACATTAGGCAATACAAATTAAACAAGAACATATAAATAACACATTTATTTTTCTTTCCCTGAAGAACCGTACGATGGGACGGTTTATTTAAGCGTTTTGAAAGTCCAGCCGGATGGGCTCCAAATCCTCGCTCTTCCAGTCGAAGTTGATCCCGGTCACCTCTTGGAACCACTCGTGGTAGTGGCCTGGGCGCACGTACCCTGGAATTGGGCATTGTTAATGTGGCCAGCTTCTTATCAAACTGCTGTATAATTTGACGCGAAAGATTTATTTTTTATATGAATATAGGCTGTGGCTGGGTGCATCCCAATAAGAAGCAGGAATGATCCTCTCAATGCTGAAAGTATTTGTTCTTTCGTCGCGGTACTTCCCCGGACGAGTCCGCCCATTCGTGAAACAACAAAAGGGCAAATTCCAAAACGCCGATTAATTTCAAAGTTGCACTAAGTTAATATCATATTATGTATACATGTTAGTAATACAAACATTATTCATCATCATCAACCTACTGTTCTTTTCCCACATAGGTGGGGTCGGCACAACGAGAAAATCATGCTGAAAGCGGTTTTGCTTCGTTTTTTATGAAAGTGGGCTGCCTATGTGGGAATAATTGTTATCTATGGGTCACATAAACACTTGTCCCGTGTGGGAATCGAACCCACGACTCCCGAGGCCGAAGACGATATATACAACGTGTCGTTACCATCGTGACAAAAAATGAACACACGTCTAACGCTACTTGCCAATAATCATAAAAAAATATTGAGGTTAAACAAAATCCTTAATAAAAAAAATATTTTTCAAACAAACCAAGTAAAAAAGAAACAAAATTTGTAATATCCTATACAACTCGCGCCACAGCGTCGTATTACAATCCTCTCCTTCTAACAGTATGTTTTGTCTCTTTTAAATCTATTCATATGCTTTGTGACCTTTACAAATGAACTTTACGTTACGCTTTTATAGGTAAGGGTGTTCTAAAATTCTTTGTTTTGGAAAATTTTATAACGGTGTAAATATTGATGTTTAAAGAATTTAAATGTTTAATACAACTTTAAAAAGTTATCCCCTGTATGTGTGTTCATTTATTGTCGCGATGGACGAACGACACGCTGTATAGCTTACCAACGGCACCACAGAATCATCAATACAACCATTATTATAGTTATTCTTCTTTCTCCTGCTCTTATCCCACACAGGTGGGGTCGGCGCAACATGTCCTTTCCTTTCAATTTCCTCTATCAGCCGTCATCTCAATACCGACACCTTTCACAATTATAATTATTCCTATCAAATCGGTTTTCAAAGAGTTTAAATTTAGAATAAAGTGACCGGCCTGAAGGGGAAGTGTTACACTTCTGCGTTTCGTCTGGTGAGTGAGGTACCCCGGGCCAACTTTATTAAAAGATCAGGCATCGGCAACTCTACCGAGTGTTGCAAGTGTCCATGGGCGGCGGCTATCATTCAACATCAAGTGAGCCGCCATCTCGTTTGCCACTTTCTCACATAGAAAAGCTACCTAGTAAAACTGTTTGCGTACCTGCTGGGAAGGGGCTGTTGCAGCCGGCGGAGGAGCCGAAGCTAACCACACCAATCATAGTGGGCTCACCATCCACGTCCACCAGCGTCAGAGGACCACCGCTATCGCCCTGACAACAAATAGACGATGAGAGATATAGATTGGGTTCATCCTTTTTAGGGTTCCGTACCCAAAGAGTAAAACGTTACCATATTGCTAAGACTCCGCTGTCTGTCGGTCCGTCTGTCATCAGGCTGTATCTCATGAACCGTGATAGACAGTTGAAATTTTCACAGATGGCGTATTTCTGTATTATTTTCGTAATTATTTTTTTTGGAATAAACGATCAATCATCATTTCCCGCCACACACGGAGGGACGTATGTATAAATCTGTACATACGAGTATAAATGATTTTAAATAATATCGTCAAATCTATATACAATGAAAATTAAATATACACTAAAATATCATCATAATAACGTTATCATGATGTTATTCATCCTATGTTCAATATACACTCGGGTTTTACGAATATACGTTTGCGGCAAAAGTTACGAAAGGCACTTGTGCTAAACATGAATAAGACTCCAGGTGCAGAGAAAAGAATTAAATACTGTTTAAGCACTAATACGTGATAGCTCAGTGTCCGGGCATTCGCCTTTAATTCAATATACTCGGGCAACCTGAGTTCGATCCCCGGTGCCGGCACCAATGAAGTTTTTAACTTTAAGTGCTGACTTATCACGTGCTCCGCGGTGAAGGAAAACATCGTGAGGAAACCTGCATATTTTCGAAATAATAACAAAAAAAAATATTTCGAAGATATGTGAAGTCCGCCAATCCGCAGTGGGGCCGCGTGGTGGACTATGCCCTGATACCCTCTGTATAGAGGAAGTCTTTTCCCAGCAGTGGGACATGTGTAGGCTGTTACTTTACTTTTTTTTTTAAGCACTAATAGCTTTTTCTTCCTCAGTAAAATTTCCAGTCTATCCGACATGCCAACTTTCGTAGAATCGTAAAAACTTAAGTAGTAAGTACACTGTTGTGCCGGCAAATACTCGTTTACCTGGCACGAAGATTGGGCGGTGTCGTTGTAGGACGCGGCGCACACCGTCTCATAGCTGATCACGGTGCTGGCGGGGTACCAGCGCTTGCACTCCTCGTTGCTGATGCCGAGGAGGAACACCCACAGCAGCTTCTCGGATGCCGCACCGCCTGGTACCACGCTCAGTTGGATAAACCGGCACATTGCATTATTGTTATTGTTATCGCCATGGATCGACGTCGTATCGTCCTCTATATGTGTGCTGAGTTCATATCAATTGAAGAAGAAGAAGAAGAAACGTTTATTCACGGTCTAAGCGCAATGGATACATACAAAACTTAAAAATAAATGTAAACATAACAAACAAAATAATAACAATAAGTGAAGGTCTGTGTAGCACAGCATAAGACCGTGAAACGGACGGGACTCGGTAAAAGTCGAGATACAGTAACTAAAATTCGTTCCGATCCCGGCACTGGTTTTCAGTCCGTGCAACGGTTCTCGAGTTTTAGATGAACATACACACATGCATTCTCTTTTATATAAATATAGATAACAAATATTACAAAGACCATTCTGCCTGACATATGCCCGGTTTCTGAAACTCTAAACATCGTATAAATTGGCTGTCAAATGTCATTTGAGTTACGCCGAGGTTCAGGCTAGGCGCCTCGTGCGCCAGGCCACCTCAAGTCCGTCGGAACTGTAAAGGCCCCTAAGTCGGAACTGTCGGAACTGCTAAGGCCAACAGTGGCTCATCCAACCCAAAAAAAAATCATTTGAGTTGCCAAAACGATGGTCAAACAATTTGAAATGATCATACGACGTCATTCTGATCCATTTGACAGCTGATTAGTTAATTTCTACGATGATCAGTGTTTCAGAAACCGGGCGATACTCGCGGTAGTCGTGACGCTTAAAAGATCAAGCATTTTGTACTGTGGTGGTGGGTTTTACCGTTCCAAGGGTCGTCAGTCCTCCCGTAGCCGCTGACCGTTAACCGGACGCCCGTGTAGTCTGTGTTCTTCGTCTCGCTGTTCTGCAGTCTGCACGGCTGGATGTACCCTGCGTTGCACGGGCTCCGTTAGGAAATAGTCCAATTTAAATTCAGATGTCTATCAATATACGACAAAAAAGAGGGTACATACGGAGTTTTATTCGCTTGTTTCTTCTCCGTTAGAAGAACCTCATTACGAAACGGTGGTAGATTTAAGAAATGACTGACGATAGATGAAATGTCCTACATTTTTATTATGTTGAATAAGTGATTTGATATGATTTGATTTATAGAACAATGATGTTTGTATAAAGATGACGTATACATAGTATAAATGACATGGTTAAGTAAGTGGATGTGACAGATGATATAGAATGTACGATAAGGAAAGGGATAGCAGTCTATAGAATTGCAATGTAATTACACCAATTGACGTAATTTGAGTGCCTCAGTTTCGGTGCGCTAGTGTCATATGGAACTCTTACTTGTAATAACATTGATATAGAAGCATTACACTCAAAGAAACAAGTGTAAACAATCCAATTTTGTGTTTTGTTGGAATGTCGCTTATGTTAACGGGTATGCCAAATAAATGTTTTTTTTTGTGTGAGAAGGTGGCAAACGAGCTTGCGGTTCACCAGATGTTAAGTGATAACCGCCGCCCATGTACATTAGCAACACCCGTAGGGTTGCATATGGGTTGGCACCCTTTAATAAAGTGGGCCCCACGGCCACCTCACTTGCCAGACGAAACGCGGAAGTATAACACTTCCAGTTCTAGCCGGTTCACGTGATGTCGTGGTACTTCGTTGGACGGACCCACCCATTCGTGCAAAAGAGAAGACTGTTGCGTAGCCCTAGCACAGTTGTGTTACTGCCGTATATCTTTATATACATAATTCTTCTGTGCGTGTGTACAGAACTCTCCGTCTGAACTCCTCCTTAACGGCTGGACAGTTTTTAACGAAACTTTTTGGATGTCTTCAGGTGGATTTGAGAATGGTTTAGATTCACAAACTTGTCATTCACAAACTGTGGGGTCCGCTAGCATATATATATACTATATATATCAAAGTAAACTTACTGCCGTACGGTATGCTTTGCTCGAGCCCCACCAAGGCGATGTCGTCCGTCTGGACTCCGGCGGATAATTCGTTATACTTCGGATGGATATACTTCCGCGTGGACTCCACAATGTACTCCGGCCTGGTGAGGTTCGTCAGGCCCAAACGCACCACGAACGTGATCCGGCTGGAGAAGACAAATCGTAGTACACCAACTGACGGTCTACTGATCGCTTTTATAACTATTTGTTTGATTTACAAGCAACTGCTTCTGTTCTGTTTTATTTGCTTGTATATAATAAGAGATGATTATTTTAGATTATTTTTTTTTACTTTTTTTCTAAACCAGATCATTTCTTTCTTTATTTTTAATTTTTTTAATTTCCAAAATACAAGATTTACCACCGGTCCTCCAGGTACTAATATAAAAGAGGTTACTCTACCCTACAGTAGGTGTAATGTTTTAAAAAGAGGCGTTTTAAATTGTGTTTTTTGTGTAAAGAGGGGTTGTTGTTTTGTATACTTTTAAGCGAATAGACTACAGCTACCTCACGACGCAAATTCACAATGCAAAAGAGGTCGCGTTAGTTTCGGCACAGTGGAAGCTTCCAGATTGTAGAACAATTTATATGATGGTAAGTTCGTAACGTCCTTTTAGAAGCCTATATAACTTGGAGAACGTTCGATTACTTAGAGAACGCTGGATTACTTAGCGGATAAAAAAGATGGCGTTTATAAAATAGTGTATCTTGTATTAACTGATGTTTTTGCTTTCAGTCCCGAGACTATTAAAGCTTCATCTGACGCAGAACCAGTGGGCTAGCCAGAACCCATGGGTTTGGGCCCGCCGCTGTGGGTAGAGCCGCGCATGTGCTCATGCGTGCGTTTAACTACGACATGTCGTCTAAGGGCCATCGAAGTTGCGGTTCGGACCGAGACCCCGATGGCCGTCGACTGTGTTTTTATTAAAAAAAAATAGTTCATGACTGTTTGCGAAGCGAACATGTTTTTTGGAGCGGGCAAAGTTCGTTGTTTCATCTTTGTCAACAGCGTGAACTTTAGGCTGATAACTAAAGTATTCAAATTCAGTATAAAAATGGTGACAAACAGAGTTTACAGGTGGAAGAAGGGGAACTAGCGCACTCACTTCGCGAGACAGTGGGCGGCAGTAAGCACCCACTCGTGATGGATTATGGAGCCACCGCATGAGGAGACCTGGCCGGCCGCACTGACCATGCGCACGCTGACCTGGTGCGGGATCTGGCCATCACTTGCCTCCCACCCTGCCACGATCCTGGAGCTACCTGCGCATGGACGTGTCGTTATCACACAAAGTCAAAAATAGTTGATTCAGCTTGGAGACGTTGTTTCGTATGTGTACTGTCAGCAGAAAAATAAATATGTACTTTTTATAGGTAGCTACTTGGCGTTAAATATTATTTTTAACGATGTAGTTCTCGCCCCAGTTGCTGGGGTGAGTTTTATTTCCCTTCATTCTAGATAGATTAGAAGTCTTCCTTAGTCTCCGACTGTTTGTAAGAATTCTGTTATAAGTTATCTGTCTATTCGACTAAGTTCGGTGAAAAGCTAGTTATTTCTGTCCAGATAGAGGACAAAAGATTGGACTTTGGTATGTGTTTAGTGTGAAGATATAATTTGCACGTTGAACAAGAAAAATGCCTGATTTCGTAACGTAAATACCTACCACACACACACACACAAGCATGTATCATATAATTATATGTGTTCAAATATGGATTAATACAAAAACATAGACAACCTTTTTTTAAACCGGACATGAATAAATTTGATTATAGATTTTTGACGAATCATGTCGCTTACGTGATTAAAAACGATATGCGCCGATAAGGAAAGTTGTATTCATACTTACTTTCCTTCACATCTTCTATGATGGCGGGTTGGGCTGTCCATGTTGAAGGAATCGCCTGAAATGTGCACAAAGTATGTTATGTTCAAGTATTTACAGTTCGAAATGGAGTGGAAATCTGTAGAAGACGCCTAGACGAACTATATTTATTATAAATTCGCGATACACTGAGTTAGAAAGTAAGACGAAATTAACGTACAAGTATAAACCATATCTCAAATACTTATCAATGATTACGCTTAAAGATTGAACGAATATTTGTTAACTGATTTGCATTATTTTCCAATTTGATTCGCATCAATTTGAACTTCAAAGTTCAGACTTCAGTTCAAGTTTTGAACTAATCGCTCCACAAATTGGGGAGAAATGGGTGAACAAACAATTAAAAAAAAACATACAGTCGAACATAGAATCCTTTTTTGCAGTCGGTTAAAAAGGGCGTGCGTTTACTCGTAAGGTAGTGGGAGGAAACTTATTTATATCGTCTTATTATACTTAGTTACACTTACATCTAGGACGTCTCCTAATTTCTTTGACATCGTGTCAAAAGCCGCATTAGCATTCGGTTTTGAATTTTTCTAACAACATTTCTCATTCAACTTAAACTTGTTTCTGATTTCGATGATCGTTTGTTTGATCGTTTGTTTGTTTCTGATTTCTTCGATTAAAAATATAATGAACTTACCCTAAGATACTGCAGTTTATTACAAAATAACAGTGATAGTAAAACAGTTATGTAATTAGGGGAATAGATTAGTCGCGTTGGGTACTCGTAACGTGTTTAAGTTTAAACTTTATTCTAATAAGAACCTTACAGTCACGTAAAAGAGATACAGTGATTAATCATACTAATATTAAACTTTTTCTCGCCGTTGTCGCTTGGTTGAGTTATACGTGCTTAAGTTTTTTCTTATACATATCGCATTTATAGCATGCATATTAATAGGATTATTACAGTATTTAATATCATTTTGTCATTTGTTATATACTTGTACTCTTTCAAATAAAACTGATTTCTTTCCATTCCTCGTCACTGTTTTAATTAAATTAAATTTCTTTCAACATTTATTTCAATTATTAAGAAGGACATATCCTGCCCCAGCTTTTAAATACATATTTACGTAATAAAACACCGCGATCTAATTAACACAACTCTAATAATATAAGGACTTATTCATATAATCTTGGATTCATATTGTAATATACCTGAGCGAGCCCCAAAACGGAGAGTAGAGTCAAGAAGTAAACGTTCGCCATACTTCTCACCAATCAACTAATTGCTGTTTACGGCTTAATTAATAAACCCCGAATGCTAATCGGAGCTTGTATTTAATTCGGAGATAACATAAAGATAACCATTGATTGATGAAAAAATATAATAATCTCGGTGTATGAAAATTGGAAAAAGATAATTATTTAAATCGGGATTAGCGATTAACTAATCACTGTTCTAAGCACAATTTCGTATAAGATTAACAAAAATTGTAATGCGAGAATTTTTAGGCGTTTAAATTAGGTATTTTTTCTTGAGGATCGAACACTCTATAGGCCAAGTAGTCCCGGGATAAGCGCGGCAAAGCTTGGTGGGATTTTTTTAAGTTGCCACGCCTTTCGCCTCCCGCTTCTTTGTGTAGACGATATATTGTAAAAAATATAATAAATCAAGCGACAATGATGGGTAAGTTTCTAATTTTTCATGTGAAAAAGTGGCGGTTTACCTGATGTTAAGTAATAACCGCGGCCCATGGACATTTGCAACACTCGTAGGGTTCGACATACGTTGCCACCTTTAAATAAAGTGGGCCCCGGCTACCTCACTCGCCAAACGAAAGGCTGAAGTGTAACACTTCTACTTTACGCCGGTCTTCTGTGAGGTGACCGCGACCTCCGGTGAGGTCGTGGTACTTATCCGGACGGAGCTGCCCATTGGTGCAACAGTGAAAAATGTTGCGTGACCCTACCACAGGTACCATTTTCGAGTTTTATTCCTATACTTTATTTAAAGTTCATGCTTCATAGCGTACTCACTGTAAAGTACCTACCTGGTCGGCAATCTTGCATATATGCTTAGGGCGACCAACGGATCAAATCCATCCCTGTATTCTATGGGAATAACTATGACATTTGGACGTTAAACGGGACGGACACAATTGACGTGTTTGAAACATGTGATGAGTCATTAAGGACATGTTTGACAACAGAAATGTTTGAAAGTTCGAAAATTACTTTTATTTACACTTGGAAATATTGTTTTAAAATATATTTTGTTACCATCAAATTAAGTGGTATTTGGATAAATAAAGTAATAGTATCGTTTCTCTTTTCTACAAGAAGTTTGGATTGCAGACCCTGTTGGCCAATTCGATAGTGAAGCTGTCTCATTCGTCACGGGGTGTAAATTCAAACCAGTATTGGAAAATATTAAAGTGAATTCAAACCAGTTTTGTGTTTCTAGTGAGGGAGTTTATATATCTATACCAGGGGTGAGCAACCTTTTTAATCAATGGGCCAATTCAAATTTCAAATTTTTTGGCGGGCCGCACATAATAATTTACGAAACTTTATTTATAATAAAAACAAACAAGAAAAGGACAGAAAAACGAACAAAAAATATTTCGGTTCAGTATGTACTACCATTTTATTATAATTAATTTTATAACAATATATTGATGGGAGAAATTCGATAAAATATATTAAATTTCAGAAATGCTTGGCGGGCCGCTTAAACATGTTTAAGGGGCCGCGCGTTGCTCATCCTTGATCTATACTATTATTCACCAAAAGAGACGTATGTTAAAGTATATATATCAGTTACCTAATATATTATATATCAAAGTAAAAGCTTTGCTTAGTTTGGGACGAGACAACGTTGCTTTTTAACCGACTTCAAAAAAAGAGGAGGTTCTCAATTCGACTGTAGTTTTTTTTTTTACATTTGTTTGTTTTTTTTTAACTTTCCACTGAGTGAACCGATTTTGATGATTATTTTTTACACTCTATGTGTTTACATGTCACGAATTTTTTTATTTTTTTTTATTTTACTGTCGTAAAGGTACAATAGAGAGCAATTACAAGCAGTGGCGCAGTTGCGGGGTACATAATATAATAGGTTCGATTTTCGATTGACAGATGATTGTTCCGAATCTGGGTGTTGGTCTACGTGAAATTAGTATATGTAGAAAGTCCTTAAAACACACGAAATTGTTATCCTGCGTTGCGTTGCACAGAATTTCAGACAGGGTATGAAAAACTTATCAAATTCTCTAAGTGGTTTATGAAAACAATATCACATGATATCCTAAGTGGCCTTTCAAAAGGTTGTGAAAAAAAAAAATTGTAACATACTAGTATTTTGGGCTTTTCCAAAGCTCTTTTGCAAGTACCTATGGAGTGCACGCGCATGTCCTACAAATATGGGTTATTTTTTTTTAAATTACAAAATTCGTAGTGACATCTGGGTTGTTGTAAAGTATGTTACTACTAATTACCACTTACTCGAAGTTTCAGTCTGTTTGCGGGAATAAAACTCATGGTAACATAACTAACGTTTTATTACAACTAAGTACAATCGTTACGCATATCCGTTAAGATACAAAATATCACATCGTTGGTAGAACTTCATTCAGTCCACCCTTAAACAACTAATCCATACAAGTATGACACAAAGTATCGAACTTAAAGTGAGGAACAAACAAAGAAAACATTTTTATTGTAACAGCAAAGTCGAATATCGCTGGCCTTTAAATGGTTCAAACTGACAAGTGTTCTATTTGGGCCATTATAAAATAAATACTTTACTATTAAAGTGACATAAAACATATTTACATTACTTACAACACCAGTAAATATTTCATTTTCCTAAAAATATATTTATATGCCATACACTTCCAGCAGTAATAATAGTATGCCAAACTATCTTGTGCGGTGAAAGATTTTTCCATTTTTTCCACTTTTAAGTAAAGAGCACCGTAGGACAAAAATCTTAAATAATATATAAGAAATTTCCATATTACATATTAGAAAAATTGTTCTAATATTAAGAGCTATAACAAATTTATCTAAATTCAAGAAAATTTATCTAGTGTTTCCCGAATCATTCAGAATATTTTGCTTTTCGTTACACACACAATAGCGGAAACACTTATCTTCTCTTTCTCGCATAGGTAAACGAAAGAGACGCTCGATCTCGTTCCAATTCCAATATCGAAATGAATTGCATATTGCATTTTTCTTAAAAGAAACTATTTATCTGATTTGTATGTTAATTTATACATGTATGTATTACTGTAATTAGGAACATCACATTATATACAATAATTACATTATTTTATTGGATCTCTATTATTTATATATTCTAATTAATACATTTTACAAAAGAAGTAATGAAGAACGATGTCTTGTGTATTAAGTGATTGACACCATTTTTACAAGAAAAAGAAGTACACATTTACAGGCAATGACATTATTTTTCAGTTCGCCGATTTTGCAAAGCTTCCTTGAGAAAAATACAGTTTCAGCTAGATTTATATGATTTGTTGCATTAGTCTTTCACCGCAAACGAAACATGAACGTCCTTTAACGTGCGATTTGATTAAGTAAATAGTTCTAACAATTTACTAATGTAAAAGTTATCACAGTCAATGTTTTACACCACTTACGTACTCACAGTAAGTACGATTGTTGAATGCAATCCCGTTTGATAAAATATTTGGCGTTCGTCTGTTTGCAATTGAAATGTATAAAAATTAATACATATAAAGTCATTCTATCCGGTATTTATGTATGACAAATCTTAAAACAGCCTTTAGGAGCTACATGGAGACATTGTTTTAGTTTTTGGTCAAACACTCTTAAAGAGTTATATTTGCTTCAGGAAATCCTGATCAGATTCAGGTATATCATATTTTATTTAACAAGAATAATTTTTGGACAATCCCAAGTTTTTACAAGTCCAAGCTTTGATAATTTAACTATATATTGGCTAATTTATCTACAAAAAAAACAATGCTTTGTTCATTAAAAAATTAAGTAACGGAAATGTATATTAATTTTTAAGTGTGAGTTTAAAATAGTAAAAAAATAATTACCCAATTGCGGATTACTTTTAATTAATCTTAAAAAAATACTACAGTAAATGTGTGTAGTCTGTGGTCATTTACCCTATGCACTCAAGTCGTGCTGTCAAAATGACATTTGAAATTTAAATTTTATGTTTGATGACAGATTAAACTGTGTCGATGTCAACTCGATAATTTTTTTTATTAACGGCGCTTACTTCACTATTTCATTATTACGTATTATTAAAATATCACAAAAAATGGTACTCGTTTGTATACAAAAATGTTACGATAACTGGATCAGCAAAGGGTCAAATGAAAATAGCCGTCGAAAACGTCTCTGTATAACTGTATAGCTTAGCTGTTAATTAGCTAAGCGTGATTTTTGATGTGTTTGAAAACGTTTCTATCTAGACTAGCTGTTAATTAACGCTAAGTGTTATTTTTAATCTGCGGCGATTGTCACGTCACAACGGTTATCGCGGGGTCCGGTTTTCTCGAGATGAGGATCTTGTGGTAGACGACCGCGTCGTGAACAGTCGGGAATGTGTCCAATTGCAGCCGTTCCGATTCCAAGGAGTTGTAACGCTCTATCATCTCCAATACCGGACCTTGAAATTGATTCTTTATTATTCGTCCAGCTCTGTTATCCAGATTTTTCTTTCGTTTTATATAAAAATATCTTTATTACTCCAACATACACAATAGCTTATTTTTTAGGCTTCGTGAAATGTTGGTTATAATATTTCACTACTACCCACATTTCATCAAGCTTAGTTAATAGTATGCTAGTATTTCAGTTGAGTGCAGAGTATTTAGTCAAGTGATACTCTCCGATTAAGCTAGATTGAAATGGATCGACTGTACTAAATCATTAATCTACTCGACTAGATTTTAGGTGTTCAGACACGTTTAGTTACTAGATTGCTATGAATTATTATTAATTGCTAGTATTATTATCGCATCGTTGGCGTCTAAACTTACCATTGGCTCCAGCCAGCAGCACCGTGATATTGTTGGTGGCCAGCTCTCTTTGAGCCGCCACCAGGCTCTTGATGCCCGGCGCGTCCACGTACGACAGAGCCGTCGCGTCTATGATCACGCATTGCACCTGCGGGTCGCAAATCAGTGGTCGCACAGCGGTTCCGAGTATAATGGTCGGGGACTTCGGGGGTAGTTAACTTTTGTGCGTATCACAAATTAGTGCACTAACAATATTGTGGTTGACACACATTCTGCAGGGTCCACTTAACATCGCGTGAGGCACATGCCCCCTTATCAAATTTTCACATAAGAAAATACATAAACCTTTACATGTTGGTTGTTCACATTATGGCAGCGACAGCCATAGAGGTGGAAAACTTCAGAGCGTCAAAACTTTCTTGTTCAATCTACAAACACGTCCAGAACGTTAATTTCCAACTAAAAAAAAGTATTTTATTCGAATATTATACAATTGAAAACATTATTGCAAATTAATAGGGATAATCCCCTTTAACATACAAAAAAAAAACACACAATGATTTATACGTCTAATGACCTAAGCCACAACAAGACCCCCTAAACCCATGGAGAGGTTAGCCTCCCATTTATATGGGAGCTTTGTAAGTAGCTTAACAGAGGAAGCTAAAGTCGAGTTTGCCAACTGGGGTCTGATGAACGGTCTTATTTTATAAATACATATTTTAGGGCACATTTTTACACAACTTTCTCTAGTCCCAAACTAAGCAACGCTTGTACTATGGGCACTAGATAACTGATAACCGTACTTAAACATACTTTTCTTTTGTAAATAAATACACTACAAATAAATTTTGTAAATAAATACACAATAAATAAATTATACATATAAACACCCAGACACTGGAAAAACACTACGCTCATCACACAATATTTTCCAGTAGTGGGGATCGAACCCACACCCTCTGGCGCAGGAGGCAGGACCCACTACGCCCATTCGGGTCGTCATATGCTATAAAAATTAATTTACTTCTCTATACTAAGGGTGTAAGCCAACCGACCCTGTTCCCAATGGTGGGGTCCCACTCGCAGGACTCGCTCCTGGTGAGGTTGTCCTCATCCGGCGAGGTCTCCGCCCCCTTCAGGTACCCTATCTTGCGGAACAGCGTCGACCTGAACAGGTTCTTGGTGGCGAAGTTGAGCCCGCCGCAGTAGTGGAATATCTTGATGCCGGGGATCTCCTCGGCCTGGGTGGAGGTTTAGGAGGAAAGGAAGAAGTTTAACATCACAAAGAAGAGAAAAATAAGACAACCGGGAAAAAAGTACAATAAAACAAGTCTAATTTTTAGTATCAAATATCTCGCTCTGTATTCATTTTATAATTGAATTTCAGGAGTAACCTAAGTATCTCCGGAGCCCGAGATCCAATATCAATGAAATTAATATGGGACCACATGGGAAACACCAGCTTTCAAAAAAATACAGTAGAATTGAGAACCAAAGGTTTTCGATACCCAAAAAACCTTTCGGTTAAATTGTGGGTTAGAAGTAACATATACGTCATACTGCTGGACAAATGTCCTAGGTTATACAGCGTGTCGTTACAACGGCGAAAATAAATGAACACACATTAGGAGGATAACTTTTTAAAATTGTATTAAGCGTTTACATTCTTTAAACATCAATATTTACCGAGTTATTAAATTTTACAAAACAAATAATTTTAGAACACCCATACGTATAAAACGGTAACGTAAAGTACATTTGTAAAGGTCACAAAGCATATGAATGGGTTGAATGAATTTAAAAGAGATAAAACACACTGTTAGAAAGAGAGACTTGTAACGCGACGCTGTGCGCAACGAATGAAAGTCTCTGAATGTATGAATCAGTCAGTTTTAGTTATATAGGTGTTACAAATTTTGTTTTTTTCATTTAATTAGTTTGTTTGAAAAATATATTTCCTTAATTATGGATTTTTTAAACGTTTTATATTTTTTTATGATTGGCAAGTAGCGTTAGACGTGTGTTCATTTATTGTCGCGGTTGTAACGACACGCTGTATACTATTAGTGACCAGTATGAGTTATTCACCAGTCTTGTGAAACTAATTGTCACTCATCCATAGAAAGAAACTGGAGTGAGACTCTCTATATGTACCCAGCTATGAATTAAATACGAATGATAAGTATTACAAACAGTTGTCTACAACAGGGCTACAGAAAAGAGACAGATATTGGCCGTGAAGTCGTTTCGTCTCTTTCTAGAAAGTGGTCAACTGGTCACGGTATTTCCGAGTCAATTCTCTATGCCCAGGGTATCAGTCTAATCAAAATTTTTGTATACAATCTAGCCTTCGCGAAAGTTCTCGCGTAAGTCATCTACCATTCGTTTGAAAACTTACACCAGTCCACTAACTTCTTATTAATTTTAAATTACAACCCCAAACTCAATCAAAGATTTATAGACACCACATAAAAGTTTCTTTTTATGTTAAAGTATATATAATATGTATAAGAGTATGTAATATAAGATAAAAATAACGGCTATAAGCTGTTACATCGATTAAAAGAGGGAGTTTACTACTGACTATGGTATATTTCGGTTATGGCCAATAACAATGTGACAGCTGTCAAAACGTACGCGATTATAGCAAGAAAATAAAACACTCCGAAACAAACGGAGACATGGGCGCGAAAATCTAGTGAATCTTCAGAAAAGAAACAGATTTGATATCTCCGCGGAAGCCCTAAAATAAATAACACAATCAACAAATATACAAACAATAGTGTCATGGTTTGCGCCACGTTGTTACAACTTTACTGTCAAGGAATAATCTAGAATTTAAAAGACGAGCCAAAAAGGATGAAATAAGAAGAAGAAGGATAAAGAAGAAATAAGGATCTAGAAACGATGAGGCTTATCGCCGACAAACGAGTGCCCTATCGCCTCAACTACGAGGTGGGGGCCTTCGACCTTGTGAGATGGTGGATTTTCATACTGTTCAACATCCTGATAATGTTGTGCATAAATTACTTGGTGATGTCGCTGCATCAAGATAGGGAGTTGGAGGTGCTGAGCCAGGGCATGCTTTTGTCGACGGACGCGCGATGAATAAACTATTTTGCACGCCCAAAAATTACGTTTCTTTGATGTTGATATTAGTTTAAAAAGATTTTAGAGATTAGAAGAAAGTAATCTTTTTTTTAAATTATTTAAAAAAACATTGCCCTTACTTTGGGATAACATTATCCTGTGTTGTGAGGACGTTTTACGGACATAAATTACACGCGGACAAAAACCCAGACGCGAAACAACTATCCGTGGGTCGCACAAATAGTTGTCCCGTGTGGGAATCGAACTCACGTCTTCGAGATTCGAGCCCTAAACACTAAGCTAAACGGTTGAATGCCACACCGACGAAAATCTCAACGTCTTTTATCTATATTGTAAAAAGCATTAGAAGCAATGCTTGGCGCATCCATTGTAAGGATATACCTTTCCAGCATATAAACAACTTCGAATATCGTTTTACGACGATAATTCGAAACGAGTTGATGTCGCCATTACTTTTTAGAAATTTAAATTTTTTATAGTGCTTATCCCTTTCTCTTTATTTTCTTTTCGAAAAGTTTATATTTCTATCGTGCTGGAATTGTTAGTTTAAAATAAAATTACGTATTGGGTAGACAGATATTACCATTTTTTTTTACAGTATTTTTCTTGTTACTACACAACGCTTTAAAATAATAAAAGCCCGTAGAAAAATTAGTAAATAAAAAAACCCATCTTCAATAAAATGTAACTATACCTCCTTATTTCGCGACACCATATTGAAATAGTATACCATATACAAATACGAGTCTACTAAAGTGCACTTTATTGCCAAGTGGCAACATCTGACCCTAGCAGAGTTGCAAGTGTCCATTTACGCTACGATTAACACTTAACATCAGGTGAACGGCCAGCTAGCTTGCACGTTTCGCCACACAAAGTTGTGATTTCCTATGAAATAGCTGATTTTATCAATTTAAGTCATTTAAACCTTACCGCCCTGTAGCGTTTGGTGTCCAAGTAGAGGTCCGTGTCTAGCACGCGGCCCAGTAAGCAGGTGTACGGTTTCTGGGACCTGCAGAACAGCGTCGCCACGCTAGCCAACAGACCCGCAGCCAGCCTGGAATATATTAAATAATATCGATGACAGATACAGTTTACTTCTTCACTAATGTGATCCATACCTATTTTATTACATAAGGGCATTTCATATTTGGGCTTATTAGACAGGCTTATTTAGTGTATAACTCAGGATGTAAAAGCAGTAAAACTGTTGTAAACGTGTAAAAACTTAACATTGCAACTGTATATTACCGTCAATCGTTTCCTGGTTCAAGTAATTTTAGACCTTATCCTTTTTACCGATTTGATATGAAATGGAATTGACATGTGGACGAAATATGAAAGGCCAACCGTTTCTTAATTTTTAATTCCCTTTGAAAAATTAATTCATTATATATTTTTTTATTATACACCAGAACATCTCGAAGATGGCAGAATGGGTTCCTACATACACTTATCGTTATATTGTGGACAATTCACACATTATCTCTATATATTATAGCCCGTGTGTTTTTCTGATGTATAAGCTATATTATTGTGAAGTTTCATTAAATCCATTCGAGAGTTTTTGCGTCGAAGAGTAACAAACATCCATACATGGAAACTTTCGCTTTTATAATGTTATAAGTAGAGAAAGGATAATAAGGAAGTAAGGATTTAGAAGATGTGTTGTCTGGATTCAGGTAGATCTTCAAACTCACCCAATGTCGATGTTGACGAGCATGGTCGTTAGGAAGGTGACCAGCCAAACGATCGCGTCCAGCTTGCTCAGCCGCCAGAACCTACCAGCGAACGGTCAGAATAGAAAACAAATACATCTAGTGGCACGCAACTGTTGCACGAATGGGCAGCCCCGTCTGTGGAAATGCCACGGCCTCACAGAAGATCTCCCTGAAGTGTAAGTGATACTTTCGCGTTTTTTCCGGTGAGTGCGGTTGCCGGGGCCCACTTTACTAATGCCCGGTTTCTATATTCAAAGAACGGCCGTTAGTTACATAGCTTCGTAACTTTAAAAGCGACTTTTAGATTAAAGGAACGCTAGTAAGTCACGGCTAGAAGCTATGTAACTAACGGCCGTTCGTTGAATATAGAAACCGGGCATAAAAGATGGCAACGCATCGGTAACCCTACTGGTTACACATGACCATGTGCGGCGGTAACTTAACATCAGACGAATCGCGTCAACGCTTGACAACTTTGCATATAAAAAAAAAATAACGCGATCAAAAATTAGACAAATCGTATGTATAATATATGTAACAGTATCAGCAGTAAAACGTTAAGTGAAGACATTCGTGCTTTTGCATTTCGCTTATGAGTGAGGTAACTGAATACTCTCGTGATTGACGATTCGTCTGTATATTCTCTTGTGTCTTGTTGTTCCTCAATGCTCAGTACTAATGAATGAAGGAATGCACGCTTTTGTGTGTTTGAAACAGTGGGAAGTTGATGAACTTGTATAATAATTGTATACCGTTTTGTAGACCTAATAAATATATTAAAAAAAAAAAAAAACTTGAGGAGAAAAAAAACAATGCCCTAATAACCTCTGTATAGAAGAGGATTGCAGCAGTGGGACACATTACACTTTACTTTTGCTAGGCTCTCCCTTTCTGAAGTGGTGGGTATCACGAGGTGGTAACGCGTTAAAGTTTAAGAAGAGAAGAGAAGAAGCACGCACTTCCGCAGCTCCTTGACCTGCATGAACATGCCCTTGAGGGAGACCACGATGATGGAGGCCAGCACGCAGCGGGGCAGCTGCTCGAAGAACGGGCCGATCCACAGAAGCACGCAGAGGATGAGCAGGGCGCTCACCACGGTGGTCAAGCCCGTCTTGCTGCCGGCCTGCCACACGACACATCGGGGGCTTTAGCGTCGTTCTAGTTCCTTCTTTTACTTATTGTCGAAGCCGTGGTTTTGTGTACGGTTGTGGGTGGATGAGTGATGTGTTACGACGTCATATGAGATCATTACCGCTTAGCTTAGTTAGGGCTTTCTATCCCGAACTTTCTGTTCAGATCCCGCGGCGCCGGAAAACTTTTCGCTGCTTTTTTCTACAAATTTTAATAGAATAGGTGTCCATTTTTGAAGGTCAGGTGCGATCTTTCATACTTTGAATAAATATTTATTCATACATTCATTCGTTCATGATCAAGTTTTAAATTGCCTTATTGCATCTTGGTCTAAGGTGCCACAGAGGTTTAACGGTGGTAGGGCCACGCAGCAGCCTCAGCTGTTGCACGAACGGGCAGGCCCGTCCGGATAAGACGACCTCACAGAAGACCAGCTTAAAGTGGAAGTATGACAAATAATTTCGCGTTTCGTCTGGTGAGTGAGGTGGCCGGAGCCCAATTTTCAAAAGGTTGTCAACGCATCTGTAACCCACGGGTGTAGCAGATGTCCATGGGCGGCGGTATTCACTTAACATCAGATGACCCGTCTGCTCGTTTGGCAACTTTTGGCATAAAAAAAAAAAGAGGTCGCTTACTTGGTACTGTATGTAGGAGCGCGAGAGGCTGGCGCAGATTGGGGCGCAGCAGAAGAAGGAGCCGAACACGTTGCTGGCACCCTGGAGGCGGGAGACGGTGAAGGTACACCCGGGATATTATATAAAAAAAATGCAATCAAATATATTACCTACGTATGAGCAAATGAATTACATTTTTAAATTTTTACACAACATTCGACCGCTTGTTCTATGGATAGCCGATAAACATACTTAAACATACTTTTCTTTTGTAAATAAATACGTTATTATAGATATATAAACAACCATACACTAGAAAAACAAAATGTTATTATGATACATGTACCGTGTATAAATCCATATGCACTTAGTAAAAAGCGGTTATTTCTATGTAACAAACAGACACTCCAATTTTATTTATCTGTATAAATATTGACAATACACGATGATTTTACTTTGACATAATGTTAAATAAGCATTTCGTAATTTAAAAAAAATTGACTACAAAAAAACCAGAAAAATATCAATTCAAACATTGTTTCTCTATCCTGTTAAGAGTGGTCACCCTATTGATAAGCGGTTTAGTAATGATGCGTTCGGCGAACAGTTTTAGTGCTCGTGAATAGGTTATAGTAATGCATATATTGTATTGAGACGGTAAGGCTAGAATTTCTGATAGGGTGTCCATAATGTTTGAAAAATTAAAAATAATCTTGGAAAAAAAAGGTCACAAGTACGTACTAGGCTCAGATTTAGAATCAAATTCTGCATATTATGCTCTGTTAATATGTCCGTCGTCTATAAAATCACCCTCTATAATATTAACAAGAGGGGCGTACCATCATGGAACAACAGAACTCACCAGGGCGAGGAGCTCCTGATTCGCGTCGATCTCGTACTTCTCCTTGGCGGCGAAGATCAGCGCCATCGACATGGAGATGGTGTAGGTGACCATCGTGATGGTGAACGCGTCGAGCGCCACGGACGGCACCAGCTCCACGGGCGGCGGCTCCGGCACCGGGAGCCTAGAGCGGGTACATGACTGTCCAGAAATCTCCAGAACTATCGAGAAGCCCAAGTTATACCTTTATGATGACGAAGTCGTTTCTTGGAAGATGCATCAACTTTTATAATAGGTGACATCGATAAACAACTAAGTATAAACAATTTCAAACAATTTGTACAAGCTACCTTAATGGCAAGAGTCTACTATAATGTCCAAGAATGCATTGAGGACAAGGATGTTTGGAAATGACTCTTGCTCTGCACTTGCAAGACCCCTGGCTGCTGCTGATTTTATACCTAAATAAGTGTGTATAATTGCATCAAAAAAAAAATATAACAAAAAGAACAAGACCGCAGAGTTTCTTGCCGGTTCTTCTCTGTTCAGGTCTGGTTTAGTGCACCGGTGGTAGATTTTTTGTTGACGTTCAATAAGAGCTTAAGTTAGGTCTATATTGAATAAATATACTTTGACTTTGACTTTATGATATTTAGTATTGTTACCGGCGCCTGGAACAGGTCCATAACGCAAACTATGGAGGTCCCAAGTATACTGACTCTTATGATATTTTGTATCCTTTCCTGGAACAGGTCCATAACTATCCAGGACTATCGAGAACCCCAAAATTGACTTTTGACTTTAAACTTCACACCTGGAACAGGTCCATGATGGAAACTATCGAGGACCCCAGGTATATTGAGCTTTATGATATTATTTTATATGTTTAACTGTGGTAGGGCCACGCAACAGTCTTCACTGTTGCACGAATGGGCAGGTCCGTCCGGGTAAGTACCACGACCTCGCAGAAGTCTAGCGTGAAGTAGAAGTGTTACACTTCTGCGTTTCGTCTGGTGAGTGAGGTAGCCGGGGCGCACTTTATGATACAGGTGGTAACGCATTTGCAACACTACGGGTGTTGCTAATGTCTATGGGCGGCGGTTATTACTTAACATTAGGTGAACCGCCAGCTCGTTAATACTTTTTCACGTAAAAAAAATAGTATCCTGTACCACGTCACCCCAGGAACGGGTAGTATATTATGGGAACTAAAACCCCGCAAGACATGTCTTTTATGATATTCAGCATCCTTTACTGGATTCTGGTACATTTTCAACACCTGTTGCGTTGCCAACTTTTAACAAAGTGGGCCCCGGCTACCTCACTTTTTGAAAGGATTTCTTTCTTCCTTTTGAAAGGAAGAAAGAAATGTTTATTCGACGGTAGGGCCACGGTGGTAGGGCCACGCAGCAAAAGGCCCGTCCGGGTAAGTACCAACGACCTCACAGAAGACCGGCGTAAAGTGGAAGTATGACAAATACACTGAGTGAGAGCGGAGCCCAATTTTCAAAAAACGCATCTGTAACCCTCGAGTGTAGCAGATGTCCATGGGCGGCGGTATTCACTTAACATCAGGTGAACCGTCTGCTCGTTTGACAACTTTACGCATAAAAAAAAAAAAAATTCGAAGCATTAGATTACATGAAAAAAATAAACAATGAACACGAATAACACTAAGAGCGTAAAAAACCGACCAAGTGCGAGTTGGACTCGCTCACGTAGGGTTCCGTACCATTATCTATAAAAACGGCAAAAAAATCATGTCTTTTGTATGGGAGCTCCACTTAAATATTATTTTTTAGTACTTGTAGTTCTAGCGCAAACAGGAATACATCATCTGTGAAAATTTCAACTGTCTAACTATCACGGTTCATGGGATACAGCCTGGTGACGGACAGACCGACAGACAGACAGCGGAGTCTTAGCATAGCGTCCCGTTTTACCCTTTGGGTACGGAACCATAAAAATGCACCAAAAAGCTCAGCGTACCGCGACAGAACCCTTTTTACTACTCCACGGCACTGGTTTTCTGCGGATGCCTTAAAAGATTGGCGTTTGGTGCTTTAAAAGAGTGGCATCCGATGCTTTTGGTGCCAGTGCTTAACCAGCTCACCCAGTTGGTATGTGCCCGACCAGGGCGATCCCGAATTGCTCCTTGAGTCCGCCAAACCTGGAGACCAGCGTGCCCACCACGATGGCGAGGAGCTCGATCGGCACAGGAACCCGGCAGCGTTTGCTCACCCACGGCTGATGGAAGAACGAGTCCATTTTGAACCGACCTCTAATGCGACTCCAGACAGCGTTGCGTTAAACGTTCAACGCTACCGCAGAGGGTACGAAAGCACGGTTGCGTTGAACGTTTAACGCTACCATGGAGGCGGTGTGAAAGCGAGGTGGAAATGACTCTTGCCCTGCACTTGCAAGTCCCTGGCTCCTGCTAAATTATACTAAAATAATTTTGTGTGTATACTTAAATACTTTTTTTTTATTTTTTTATTTAAGACACACCAACAGTATACATATTTACACAACTTACAAAAAAGGAAAAATTAAAAAAAACATTGGACCTAATATGTACACCTATAACAGGTGTGTACAACATTTACAATATTGTGACAAAGTTTAGTAAAAAAAAAAAACTAATTCATAAAAAATTAAATACAAAGAATAGACTAACAATAAAGAATCAAAAATAATTAAAAAATAAATTCACATTGAAGAATACTATACTATAATATATACTAATGAAATGACTCCAGTACTTTCTTTTTGTAAACAAGGGGAATCGTTAAAAATGTCGATATATTCAGCACGGTTAAAAAGTATATTAAGTTCTTTGCACATTCTTACCAAAGGTGAATTGAGGCCAAGATTAGTTTTTACGGTTGGTGTATAAAAGATTTTTGTAATCGGTTTGCGTGGAAATTTTTAAGGTACAGCTAGTGAAATGTTTTGTAGAGCGTCGGGGCAATTTATTGAGTTATTTAACAGTTTGTGCAGAAAAACCACGTCATGCATTTTACGCTGATTGTTAAGAGTTAAAAAAAAAATAAAAATAAAAAATACAAAAATACATAATAATGACCGCAGAGTTTCTTGGCGGTTCTTATCTTGCAGGTTTAGTTTAGTGAACCGGTGGTAGTTTTTGACGTTCAATAAGAGCTTATGTTGAATGAAGAAATTTTGACTTTGACTTTGAAAAGCACGGTTGCGTTAAACGTTTAACGGTAACATGGAGGGGGTATTAAGCACTGTTGCGTTAAACGTTCAACGCTCCTGCGGAGGGGGAATAGAAAGAGACAGAGCGATGAATGCGTGGCGCTCGAAGTTTGAATTCTTCCGCGCGGGGGGACTCCACCCAGTATTTCTTTTTTTTTATTAACGACAAGTCCATTTGCAGCCGTCTTCAAAAAAGGAGGGAGGTTATCAATTCGATTGTATTTTTTTTAATGCTTGTTTGTCGCCTCAGAACTTTCGGCTGAGTGAACGATTTTGATGATTCCTTTTTTATTTGAAAGCTGGTGCTTCCCATGTGGTCCCATATTAATTTCGTTGGTATTGGATCTTGGGCTCCGGAGATACTTAGGGAACTCCTAAATCAATTATAAAATGAATACGGAGCGAGATATTTGAAGTCGGGAAAAAAATACAGTCGAATTGAGAACCCCCCCCCCCCCCCCCCCCCCCCCCAGGCGGTTAAAATATTTGGACTTATTCAAATAAGTCCAAATATTTTAACCGCAGGTTGATAAAATAAATAAATAAATATTCTGCGGACACATAATTACACAACGTTCTGTCGTCCCTAACCAAGCTCCGCTTGTACTATGGGTACTAGAAAAATAATAAACATACTTAAAGATACTTTTCTCTTGTAAATAAATAGATATTTTACATATACAAACACCCAGACACTCCGAAAACACTATGTTCATCACACAATATTTTTCCAGTAGTGGGGATCGAACCCATACTCTCGGGTTGCTCGAGTATATTGAATTGAGCGAGCGCCCGGACACTGAGCTATCACGGCTCTTCTTAATCTATCGAAATAAAAAATACTATAAACAATGTAGAAAGGATATTCGTACAGTTTTCCTAAATTGTACTTACCTTCAGCAATTCGTTGTTCAGAGCGATGATGAGACAGGTGATTATGGATATCACCAGCGCGGCCCAGTTGAGGTACGGCATGTTCTTTACCACTTCTATCACGGTCTAGAAGGAAATTCGATTACTTGTTACTAACGCTTTTCGTTATTAATTATTAATAAAAAATAATTGCACTTATCGTTACTATCTATGTATACAGCGTATCGTTACCATCGCGACAATAAATGAGCACACATATAGGGGATAACTTTTTAAAGTTGTATTAAACATTTTAATTCTTTAAACATCAATATTTACAGAGTTATTAAATTTTCCAAAACAAAGAATTTTAGAACACCCTTACCTATAAAAGCGTAACGTAAAGTTCATTTGTAAAGGTCACAAAGCATATGAATGGGTTAAATGAATTTAAAAGAGACAAAACATACTGTTAGAAGGAGAGGCTTGTAATACGACGCTGTGGCGCGAGTTGTATAGGTTTTACAAATTTCGTTTCTTTTTAACTTAATTAGTTTCTTTGAAAAATATTTTTTTTTAATTATGGATTTTGTTGACCGTTAATATTTTTTTAAGATTATTGGCAAGTAGCGTTAGACGTGTCTTCATTTATTGTTGCGATGGTAACGACACGCTGTATATAGGGGATAAGAATATGTACCTACGTATATGTTTAAAGTTACGAAACGTTTCAATTACAGGGAAGTATTACGGCCTCTACGAACAGTGAGAAATGGAATTTCGTTCTTTCGCGTTTCGTCTGACGGGTGAGGTAACTGGGGCCTAATTTTTAATGAGATATAAGATATCCATGGGGGGCGACAATCTCATTTGCCTGCTCATTTGCCAACTTTGGACATAAAAACAATAATTCCTACACATTAGAAATTATCGTAATAGAGAGTAATCGGTGCACTGAAACTACATAATTATCACCCGGCGTGGATAATGTTTTAGAATGAGATGAAAATTAACAACTACCCGGTTAACTAAAGACTATATAACCGCTGTGATCTCAAGAAACCTAGTGGGTATAAGCGTCCACCTAGACGAGAATTATGGTCCGGCCAAATTTTAGGAGGGCGGAACAGCAAATCGCAAGGAGTCAAGCAAAGTGTGACGCTAACTCACCAGCACCACTTTGTAGTTGGGCCCGAGCTTGTGTATCTTCACGCCGAAGAGGTCCTTCAGCTGCGAGGACAGCACCTGGAAGGAGGCGGCCGTGGTGAAGCCGGAGACCAGCGGCTCCGAGAGCAGGGTGGACAGCGCCCCGAGGCGTAGAGCCCACATGGCTATCTGTCAATGTCAACGTCACTCTTTCACTGATTGGGGAGGGGAGACAGTGAAATTCTAATCAAAGTAAAATCATCCACTACGAGGAAACATTAAACACGCGCTCACGCACGCACGCATGCACGCACTCACGTGCACGTCTTCAGATTTTTCATGCTTACCTACGTGTATGCTATTATAATTCCTATTTTGTAAATCTAACCGTCTGTTCTTTTTGTGAAGCACACTCCGGTTTCCAAGATACAGGCACTGCCAATTCACAGTGTAGTCTATATTCTCTTATTGTAACTTAACCGAATGAAATATAAAGGGTCTAAGAATTTAGAATCTAAATAGTCTATTCAAAATTAATAAATTTATTGTTTATTATTATTCAGACATTTAGTCAAAATCGAAGTCAAAGTCAAAATTTCTTTATTCAATATCAAAAACTACCACCGGTTAATTAAACTAGACTGTCTAGAGAATAACCGGCAAGAAACTCTGCGGTGTTACCTATATTTTTTTTTAACTATATAAGTTATTATACATATTTTAATGTTCAATCTTAAGTGCAAAGATTAGCACTATAAACAATTTTAATTTCTAAAAAAGCAATGGCGACATCTCTCGTTCGAATTATCGTTGTAAAACGATATTCGAAATTGTTTGTATGCTGGAAAGGATATAACCATAGATGGCGCCAAGCATTGCTTCAAATGCTAAGAAAACAATGTAGAAGAATGCGTTAAGGTTTTCGTCGGTGTGGCAATCAGCCGTTAAGCTCAGTGGCTAGAGCGTCAGGCCGCGAATGCCGAAGACGTAGGTTCGATTCCCACAACGGCGACAATCTTATCGCACTTTTTCTACATATTTTAATATATAAGTTTACAAAATTATTTGAGTATAATATCAACAGCAGCCAAGGGATTTGCTAATGCAGAGCAAGAGTCTTTTCCATACACCCTTGTCCAAAATGCCCTTTCTATTAGGAAAGCTTTTACAAAATGTTCAAAACATTCAAGTTTAGTTCCAGATTTTACGGACGTCCTTTGTCTTTTTGATGGGGGAGGGAAGACAGCAAAATTATAATCAAAGATAGATCATTCAGACCGTTCAGTTTAGATGCAGATGTTACCGACGCCTGTCATGTGATGCATTCTATATATGAGAGAACGCTTATATTAAGTGATGTTCCTTGCATTCTAAAAGGTCAGTCCAGATAAGGGACTTTTCGCATCAAATTTTAAGCCATATCCTGAATGGCTTCCGATAAGAGACTAGGAAGCAATTAGTTCACACCAAGATCACAAACCGCACTAATAGACCACTGCTGAGAGTAACAATTTGTATTATTCGTCTTAAAAGAAAGCATTATAAAACACATTAGGTAATTCGTCGAGTGAAATCGAGTTCCAACTCTGTGATGTTTAATGGCATTTAAAGTGCTGGTGCGAATTTCTCCAATACAAATTGGGGTCACCTATATCTTCTGCGCAGATTTTATAGTTTAAAAGTGGTATAAATATTCATACATTCGTAGTCCTCATTGCAGTTTCTAGACCACCATTCTCACACAATTCATAATAGGACGGGTTCTAGAAGTAGTGGCTAATGGAACGCCGAAAGAAATTCAGATTGGGGCCCTCTCTCACCTGGAAGAAGCCGACGGTCAGACAAACTACGCTCAAGACCTGGAGTGGCGTGTATTGTGGTGCTGCCATCATAGCATCTGCTGAATAAGAACATTTATCGATACATTTATGTCACTTCTAACATTTACTTGTACCTAATTACAAGCAATTGAAATCTTGGATAATTAATAGTCTTGGATGGATTACGGAATTTTTTCACGTCATCGTGAACAGTCATCGAAATAAAGGTTCCTTAATTTCAAACTATTCGTGACAGTAATGATTGAGATGAATAGTTTGGTAGATTATGAGATTATTAGATTATCAGCAATTTCAGATATACAGCGTGTCTTTACCATCGCGACAATAAATGAACACACATATAGAGGAGAACTTTTTAAAATGGTATTAAAGATTTACATTCTTTAAACATCAATATTTAACGAGTTATCAAATTTTCCAAAACAAAGAATTTTAGTATTTTGTAAAGGTCACAAAGAATATGAATGGGTTGAATGAATTCAAAAGCGACAAAACATACTGTTAGAAGGAGAGGCATGTAATGCGGCCCTGTGGCAACGAATGAAAACGTCTCTGAATGTATGAATCGGTCTGATGTAGTTGTATAGGATCTTACAAATGTTGTTTCTTTTTTACTTAATTAGTTTGTTTGAAAAATATTTTCTTTAATAATGGATTTTTTTTAACGTTAATATTTTTTATGATTATTGGCAAGTAGCGTTAGACGTGTGTGCATTTATTGTCGCGGTGGTAAAGACACGCGGTATATGATGTGATCCTCTGTATGTTTGTACGTACCCGCTGTCACGTTCGTCGCATTGACCAGGTTCGCGTATTCAGGATGCGCGGAATACTGTGTCACTACCTGGATAAAACAGGGAGGTTCTTTGTAGGGAATCGTTAAGTTCTATACTTCGTTCGATATTTCTATCGAATGATGCAGCGGCGCGGACGTTAAGCTATCGCCTTCTCCACCGGGAGTCATCGGTTCTATTAGACGTCAGGCAACGTCTATCCAATAACATTACAAACAAACAAAAAATTCTGTGGTAGGACCACGCAACAGTGTTCACTGTTGCACGAATGGGCAGGTCCGTCCGGGTAAGTACCACGACCTCGCAGAAGACCGGCGTAAAGAAGAATTGTTACTCTTCTACATTTCGTCTGGTGAGTGAGGTAGCCGGGGCCCACTTTATTTATAGGTGCAACCCTACGGTTGTTCCAAATGTCCATGGGTGGCGGTAATCACTTAACATCAGGTGAACCGCCAGCTCGTTTGCCACTTTCTCACATTAAAAAAAAACATTACAAACGGGACACACACGTGGTGGCGACCCCACTTAAGTGATCCCACCTAGGGCACGAAAAAGTAATTTGCATTTTCATGGGAGTGTTATTAATTCATAGGCTGGTTATTGGACAATTAAAATCGAGTCTCTTCATAGGAATAAATATCTATTATTCGTGGATTACTTGTCAATTCTGATATTTATAATTAATTACAAGTATGATGAATAGCGAACGAAAATTTAAATTGAAAATAAAAACTAACCTTTCCCGCCATCAGGCAGGCGACCGCGAAGGTGCCCATGGACACGTGGGGCGAGGTGCCGAAGACCACATACACCAGCACGGGGAAGAAAGCCATATAGAGACCAACAATAGGCGGTACCTCCGCCAGCAGCGCGTACGCCATACCTAACATACCGATGATACGTTCACACTTGGAATACATCTACATATCTGAGGAGCCACGATAGCTCAGTAACCGGACGCTCGCTTTTAATCGGATATACTCGAGCATCCCTAGTTAAAATCCCGGTGCTGACACCAAAGAAATTGTTAATTTTAGATTCTGACTTGATGATTTATACATTTTTTTTAACAAAAAACAAATAGACAACTGTGGTAGGTACACGCGACAGTGTTCACTGTTGCACGAATGGGCTGGTCCGTCCGGGTAGTTACCAAGACTACATGTACGGGCGTAAAGTAGAAGTATTACACTTCCGGCGATCATCACTTAACACGGTGAACGGTGAACCGCCAGCCATTAAATAAAAAATAAATAATAAAATATCTTTCTTCACATAAACGTCAAAATCTTACAAAGAAATTAACGGTTCGGAAAGCAGTTTCTGTTGAGAAGAAACCGGTAAGAAACTCAACAGTTGTTCTTTTTTAAATGGTCAGTTTACAATATAATTCTTCCAGCATCTCCCAAAACAAAGTTAACGTCCTGTGAGGGATAAAATTAAGAATTGGGGAGTACGCACCCTGAGGTATGTGCATGACGGCCGTGGTGGCGCCCGCCACCAGGTCCCCCACCAGGTCCCGCCTGGGGCTGTACCTCGGCAGCCATTTGGCGATCGGCACCGAGTTTAGCAGGCAGTCACCGAAGCCACAACTTTTTAGCGCCTTCTTGCAGCGGTGGCTGACTGAGGAGAGCGTTTGGTAGTTATAAAAAAAAATAACGTATTTGGTCCGAGGGACCACCGCTCTCCATCAAGGTTGAATCCATTTCAACGTTATTTTATACATTTTGTTCTTTTAAATGCAAATTATGCAAAGAATCAAACCAAAAACATTTATATAATAAAATTTTAGGATCAATTATCATTGGGGGTAGAGAGTGGTAATGTTTTTCTTTCTACTTTTAATTTCAATCCTTTAATAAATTATTTTTAAGACTATTAGCACGAACTTATTAAAACAATCACCGTGACTGAGCGTTGTTGAAAGAGAAAGGGCTTAAATATTTCAAGAGATTCAGATGCCAGGAAAGACTATCACACTATAAGCCCTGGTCTCGTGTCGTATACGTACGCAGCCTTTTTGAAATGTATGAAGAAGTCATACCGCATACTTATTCAGAGTCCAGTCGTCCGATTTTTCAATTTAAGGCAATTGGCACTTCCGTAGTGTTTCAGGATCTGTAAGATCTCAGTGTCTAAATAGAAGCGGACGTTAATCGATTTTCGGACCGACTTCATTCAATTCTAGATTTCTCTATTATTCTGGCAAACTTACGTGGTGAATCGGGCACCTGGTAATCAGCATCTTTGTTGAGCGCCTCCTGCTGATAGACGCGCCTCACCACGTTGAACTGCTGACTGGGTCGCGACGGGAGCCTGAAAAGTTATGTGGGACGTTAACACGCTAAGATCACGTATTACAGAAGCCTCGGATTACTGAGGTGTTTTATGCGAACGTGTTATAATGCCATTATGTTTATAGTCAACTCAGTTCTCATCATCACCATCATTTCAGTGTTTCATTTCACTGCCGGACACAGGTCCATCATCTGCCATGCCACAGGACTTCCATCATCTTCATTATCGACATCACAGTTCATCTACGTTTATGCTTTTCTTCCACGCCGGTCTTCTGTGATGTCGTGGTACTTATCCGGACGGACCTGCCCATTCGTGCAACAGCCGCAGTTGCGTGGCCCTACCACACGAAAACGAGCCCCCCCCCCCCCCCTTAACGTTTCCCTTATAAAACAGAAATAGAGTTCTTATATTATTCTTATGTTCCTTTTCCTTCTCTAGTAAAAACGCGAGTAAAAACCTCAGGTTAATAAATTCCCTCCAAATAAAAAAAAAACAAAACGTTGGTTTTATTCATAAACGCTCGTGGGATATTTTCGTGGGCCAGTGTTTTTTCAGCGACAATTATGTTCCTATTTCACGGGTTACGGAGCGTAACAAACTTTCGATTCCTTTCGTCAGCTAGTGTGACCTTGCTTTAATTTACATTGAGAGTTAAGTGTCAGCCGTTTGTATTTCGAACATGCTTTCGTGATCTTCGACGAAAGTTATTTAATCTAGGTTTGAATAAAAAAATCACGTTTACATTAATACACTAATAATGCCCGGATAAGAGGTCCACCTGATGTTAAGTGATGACTATCTATGTCAATCAAGTCCTTTAGGTTCGTAGATGCTTTGTCAACTTTGTTTTGTGGTTGAGGTCTTGAAGTTCACTGAGAAGCCGTGTCGGTGGACGGAAATGGACAGTTGGCTCTGCCACAGATGAAATTAAGAGGTAAGAATTGGAAACTCCCAAAGTGCAAGGTGGAGATAAGTGAGAGACTAGGCTAGATGGAATGGATAGAGAGGTTTATATACCACGAGGAGTGGACATACGAAGGAGTGTCTTGCAGATGCAACAAACTAAAAATTAAGAATGACAAAAGACATGAGGTGTAGTGGCATGGTTAGCCACCACAGCCTTAGTACGTCTTCGAATAATTTTTCAAATTATTTCGTAGGCATTTAGATGATACTTCCCTTTATGAATGTAAGCAATTCTTTAAAGCTTATTTTACAATACTTTTATATACAAATTTGTAGAATAATGGACGTAAAGTTTTTCGCAGCAGCAAGGATTTGAACCTGCCTCCTCCAGGATACTCACCCGATTGACTCTCTATCCACTGAGAAAAAAGAAAAGGGATATTTCGTCAAAGCTAGGAGTCGAAAGCCGACCACCGTAGGCGCTCGCCACCGATCAAACTTAGCGTTATTGTAGACAGGGGGATAAAAAACGCATATAGAAACGTGGGTGTTTTAATATAGCCGGATAAAATACAGCACAATGTCGAGACTGCAATCGACGATATACAATGTAAAATAAGGTCAGACTGATATCGCCCAGTGCAGTTCATAAGTTAGTAGGGTATACGCAACGTGCTTTGCACAACATCCCCCTGACTTCGATAGAGGTCACATAATATAGAAAGTCAAAACATTTCATACTATGTACTAGTTTCGAGCAATTGTTAAAGTCTAGATTTAGCGCCCGTTCACGAATTTAGATCTGTATGAGCAAGAACCGGCATGAAACTCTGAGTGTATAGTTTTTTTTAAGACAAGAGACATTAGAATGCTTTTAAAATGTTCAGCAGCAAAGAGTGAGAGTGTTCCGTGAAGATTAAAAGATAATATACAGAGAGATGTCACTTGCTATCAGATACTTCATAACGGTTAACTGTTCAACCATGACGTGAGGTTATCCAAACTCTCAGCTAAAGAAACTGGAAGAAATAGTCTACATTTATGTACTTTGATCAAAGCATTCTAGTTGCATGTGTGTCTATTACTCGAAGCCTTGACACACCGTTTAAATTGTTTTGAATCATCTCTCAGGTATAGGTATTCCATGACAATGTCTTCCTCCACAGTCAAGTAGAAGTAGTCGACACTTAAAATACCCAATTCCATCGGAACTCATGCTGACAAACTAAAATCGGCTGCTAAAGCACAGATCTACAGGCCTTGACTAGAGTATATTTTTATGTGCAAAATTGTCTGACGTTAAGTGAATACATCTGCCCATGAACTTTTACAATCTATCACCTGAGGGCTTGCATATATGTTTTAACCTTTATAATAAGTGGGAAGGTTATCTCACGCGTAACCCGAAAATATAGTACTTCCCCTTCCCGTTGGTCATCTGTGAGGCGTGGTACGGGTCTGTTCATTCTTTCAACAACAGAAGCTGCTGTGTGAGACCATCAAAAGCTTTACCTGATAGTTTCTTCGCGGGCTACTAGAGATATGTAGCAATTGACAACAATAAAGATTCTATATCTCAATGATCTCAACCAACACTTGCCCCTCATCGCCGCTGTCGTCATCTCGAAGCAGAGGCTCGTTCTCAGTCCCCTCATCCCTGAAGTCCCTATCGAACAGCAGGAAGGTCTTTCTCATCCGCATCGTCACTACACCGCAGTATCCGTTTCCACACTAAACGAAGTAAGTGCGGAAGTCCATTAGATACTCGAAAGGTTTGACCGCCGTTAAATATCAGCGAGTTGTTGAACCAACCAACATCTCATCTAATTTTCTTTCTTCCGTGGAACTATTTAGACATCGGAATGTGATCCTAGTTCAAGTTAAAATTTTGACCAGCGTTTCGTGTTACATTTAATTTGTTTCCAGATATGTATTCAATTGATGTATTTGCTAAAAAATCACGATAAGAGAAAGCGTCTTCAACTGCATCGATACACGAACGTACAAACCGATGTCCATATTAACCGAAAACTAATAGCAGCGATATTAATTAATAACAATTGATTATTCCACAGTTTAAATCGACGGCGATCGAGAAAAATCTCTCAGAACCACACACATGTCACTGGTTCATTCCGGAAAAGGAATTGTAACAATGTTAGCGGTCGACGTTCAGTTAAAACAGCGATTAGTCGGTAACTGTCGCCTGTTGTTAAACTTAAGATTGATAACGAAAGCCGATGCGCATGGGCGCGCAACATTTGGCAACGTTGAAGAAATATTAAAGAATTCTCTCCTTCAGATGATAAAACTTTTTCTTGTTAGTCTAGCACGTTTAAGTAATATGTCCTAATTTTTATATAAAAGTAATAACCTATACGCTAACCCTATGCCACGGCTGGGCTAAGGCCTCCTCTATACAGAGGGTATCAGGGCATAGTCCACCACGCGGCCCCACTGCGGATTGGCGGACTTCACATGTCTTCGAAATATATATATATTTTTTTGTTATTATTTCGAAAATATGCAGGTTTCCTCACAATGTTTTCCTTCATCGCGGAGCACGTGATAAGTCAGCACTTAAAGTTAACAACTTCATTGGTGCCGGCACCGGGGATCGAACTCAGTCAATTTTTATATTTACGTATATAAAAATTACCTTCCATATGTTTGTGTCTACAAAACTCAAAAACTATTCGATGGATTGACTAAATATTTCTAACAACAAGTGATACAAAGTCAATGATTTAACAAGTATTCTCGAATTGATTTTTTGAACATATACTTATTTGGAGCTGTTTTGATCTTATAGGGAAGGGCGTTCCAGAGGAGTGTAGCTTGAACGGTAAAAGAGGAGTTAAAGTATCCTGTATTATGTTGAGGAATGTGAATCTTAAGTTGGTTGATGGAACGAGATACTCTGTCAGGGTCAGAGTGAAGGTAATGGAAGGTATCCTTAAGGTAAGAAGGAGAATTAGGATTAAATAATACAGAATACAATGTTAATAGAATTCTAGAGCTGCGCCTCTGTTGAATGGAAAGCCAATTAAGCTTGCGACGGTAGGAAGATACATGGTCATATTTGCGTAAACCGAAAATAAATCTAATGCAGCTATTAAGAAGACGCTACAATTTTTCGAGACGAGATTGGGATAGGTCCGGATAACACACATCAGCATAGTCGATAATGGGCAAAATTAGTGATTGGACAAGCAGAAGCTTAGTTTTAAAGGGTAGGAAATTTTTCAAACGGTAGAGAGAACGTAAGGTACCAATAACTTTCCGGCTGACTTCGGCAATCTGCGTTTCCCAACTAAATGACTGGTCCAAATGCAAGCCAAGATTTTTGACCGAGTCAGAAAACGGAATTAACGATCCATTATAAGAAATTGGGAGAAGGCTGCCATAATCAATCCTGGCAAGCATCCTTGGACCACCAATTATAATTGCTTTGCATTTAGATGCGTTAACAGTAATCCTAAACCTATGTGAACAATCTTTAATAGATTCAAGATTGTCGTTAACAGTCATTAAACAGCTATTAAGATTTTTAATATCTGTTTGGACATAAAGCTGTAGCTCGTCAGCATACAGATGATACGAATAATTGAGTACTGAGGTGATAGAGTTAATAAATAACGAAAACATAATTGGAGAAAGTATACCGCCTTGCGGCACCCCAGTATCAACATCCGCCCAGGCAGAACACTGCTGTCCTAAGCGGACTGACTGTTGGCGACCGCGAAGATAAGAGGAAAACCAATCCAAAGCTGGGGTCGAAAATCTAAGGTAAGTAAGATAGGATCTAAGGATGTCGTGATCAACTGTGTTAAAAGCATTAGAAAAGTCCACAAGCACCACCACTGTGACCTTTTGATCATCCATACCTTTTCTTATGTCATCAGTGACCTTGATAAGTGCAGTGGTAGTACTGTGGCCCGGACGAAACCCAGATTGATAAGCATTCAATAGGTTATGTTTGTTAATAAATACGGAGATTTGCTTATGAACACAGGCCTCAAGAACTTTAGAAAGAAATGGAAGAATAGAAATCGGACGAAAATGGTTAGGTATAAAAGAGGGATTTGGGATTTTGGGAAGTGGCAGGACAAAAGCCCTTTTCCACTGGGTTGGGTAATGACCAGAGTCCAAGGAAAAATTGATTAGGTGTGTAATTGCAGGTAAAAGGTACTACAGTATCATTGTTATCATTTGCTTACTAACCTCGTCACTTCCCACAGCTTTGGATTTGATTGCTAATATAGTCTTTTTAACTTCGTTGAGATTTACCGGTGTGAACTGAAGTCTGGAATTTGAAGAGGTGGCAATTGACCAATAGAAGTGATTGTTTGAGAGCGTATTGTGGGGTCTATAGATGGTGTAGAGATAAAATGTTGGTTTATGTCATTCAAGGTTAATGAAGAGGCATGGTCTGATGGACTAGGTTTGGTAATCCCAAGAGACTTGAGAAATTTCGACACATCAGCGGTAGACGCATTACTAATATTTTCATGGATATAATGGCGTTTAGCGTTTCGTACCATCTGATTGCATCTGTTTCTAAGCAGTTTGAAATGAACCCAATTCTCTTCTGTACGTTCCCGTTTAAATTTTCCAAAAACTCGATCCCGTCTCGCCATTGCCGCCCTAACACCTCTAGTCATCCACGGGGCAGGAGGACGCTTTACTCTTACAAGATGTGCAGGTGCATGTACATTAAACAAAGTTAGTACAATATTGTTTAGTTGCCACACTTTATCATCAACAGTAGGCGCTGCTGCAAAAGAGGCAAAATCTATGAGCGATGCGTCACTCCTGAGTTTGTCCAATTGAATTCTAGAAAAATTACGCAATTTTAAGAAAGTGGGAACAGGTTTAGGAGGGATAAGTTTGTAGGAAAAGTAAATTAAATCATGTAAGGAAAAGCTAGGAGCAGAAAGCTGACCGTGCTTTATAACTCGGTCAGGGGAAGCTGTAATAATGAGGTCAATCCACGAGTCATCAGTGTGAACATTGTGATGAGTAGCCGCTAAAGGCAGAATGTGGAGGTTGACTGACTCAATAATTGTGCGAAGTTTTTGAGAACGAGACGTATTTCTTAACAAATCAGTACATAGAGAGTTATTGATAAGGAGTGTTCTTATTACTCCGAAATTTGTGCAGCGGAAACGAAAAAAGCTAGTTTAAGTGGATAGTTTAACGGAAAATTACTGTCGAATGACTATTTTTGTGACCGACATTTATTATTGTTAGCGGATTCTTTTCCAGTGGTTTCCAGGTACAGGCAGCAGTTTCAGCTGTTGCACAAGTGGGCAGGCTCATCCAGGAAGTATGCTACATAAGCAAGGCATCACAGAGGACCGGTAATACTTTCGAGTTTCGACTGGCGAGTGAGGTAGCTGGGGCCCAAGTTTTATAAGCAACACATCTGGTCAGGTGTTGAACTCCTTGGGCGGTGGTAGTCACATCAGGTGAATCGCCTGCCCGTTTGCCAACTTTTCACATAAGAAAGAGATCGCACTCGAAGGCGTACGTGGCAAGTAAATACGAGCATACCGCCACCGCCCATGGACGTCCGCTACACCCGAGGGTTTACAGATGCGTTGACAACCTATTGGAAATTGGGCTCCGGCTACCTCACTCATCAGATGAAACGCGAAAGTATTATACTTCCACTTTACGCCGGTCTTCTGTGAGGTCGCGGTACTTACCCGGACGAGCCTGCCCATTCGTGCAACAGGCGAGGCTGCTGCGTGGCCCTACCACCATAAACCATACTTGTCTCGTGCACGAATTGAATGGAGAATTTCCTTATATAAATAAGATATATTTTAGGAAAAATTTTTAGACAACGTTCTCTAGTTTCAAACTAAGCAACGCTTGTACTTAAACATACTTTTCTTTTGTAAATAAATACATATATAAACACCCAGACCCTAGAAAAATACTATGGTCCTCACACAAAATTTTTCCAGCGGAGAGGATCGAACCCACACCACTAAAAAAAATTACGCTGCTGAGATATTCGCGAGGCAGTCTGGGTTGTTTTGTCACTGTACTCAGCGGTTTCATTGGTTGGAGTGAGTGAACAGTGTCCAAGGAGATCCATCAATTGATGCAAACATGAAGACACGAGGTCTAGGGTCTTCGATCGTGTACTAAAAACCGGTTAAAAAATTTGCAAGTTAGATGTGTGGCAAAAACAAAGGTTAATAAATACAAAAAGAAACATACAGTGTAGTAAGCACTAGTGGTTGTTTTGGACTTTTTTGAAACACTTTTTAAAGGATATTAATTTTTACAGTGCAACACTGCACTTGATAAAGTTTAATTAATATTACACTAATAACATAATCACGAATTAAATGGAAGTTATGACAAATTCTGTGACGGATTTAATACGTCTGGCACGTTATCGACAAATGCTACCACAGTCATGTGATGAATCCGATACGGCAAAGTGCGGCGTCAATTTACCGGCCAACTAACCTCGGAACTTGAAGATTACTTTCTCCCCTCTCTTTTACTACCTTTCCTCTTAATAATGTCGAGTTTGCTCTAAAATCTTTTTCTATTCCTTTTTGTGTCTAGTGACCTTTCTTTCGCTACCTTAATAAGGGCGAGTTTGGCCCAAAATCTTTTTCAACACCTTTACGTGTGTGAGTGACTGTTACATCTTACAAACATGATAACTTCCATGTCACAGCTTTAGTAATAAATTATATATTAACCTAGACATTGTCTATCGTACAACAAATGTCGCAAAGTGATGCCCTGAGAGTTTAATTAAATTAAATGTTGTGTCTCTTTCTTTTCGGAGAGTTACCCTGAGAGTTAAACAAAATTTAATGTTGTTTTTGTCTGTCTCTTTGGACAGTTATGACGTCTTCATATCGTTGTTTGACCGAGGTGTGTTTATCTTAAGAAAATATTGATTATTTACGAAGTGTCTGCGCTTCCAAGGAGCGGAGAAATTGCCATGACTATATTATGTATACATACAACTGACTATTACTGATTTTAAACCTTAAGTTTTAATAGTAATTTCAATTGAAATATTGAATACTTAATTTGATAAAATCAAATCTTAAAAAATCTTACCTATATAATTTAACCTCTAACACAATGGTACAATTTATAGAATCACTAAATTTGGTAAAAGAGCAAATTCCGAAAAATAAAAAATGTGGAAAAATGAGGTACTTTTAATAGAGATGACCTGTGTCCATACTGCGTGACGTTTAAAAATTCTAACACAATGTTCTTTAAATAATAATTAGGATTATATCTTACATATAAAATATTACAATAAATATATTGAGACGCGACAGTGAGTATGTTAATCTCTAAAAAGATATCTGAGTAGATTATAATTTAGTATATACTTAATTATGGCGTAAAATCAAGAAATCAATAACACTACATTAGACGAGCGTTCTAAATCAAATCAGAATGTTTTTTTTTTTTTAATTATGAGAGTGATTATGAGTTTTGGCCATCCTTTTGGTAACTCTAATGATATTTGACAAGCCATTTGACAGCTGATTAGTTAATTTCTACGATGATCAGTGTTACAGAAACCGGACGTAACTAAACGTTATCGATTGGCGATTTAACAAAGAATTGCCAGTTAACAAGAAATGGATTCGAACCCAACAAAATAATGAGCCATATGAGTCCCCGTAAAATCTCTTTATTGAGTTTATTATTAATTATTAATGTAATCATACAAGACGCGAACACTCATTAATTCATAATGCATTATTTTTAGGACAAATTGATACCATATTTGTTAAACCTATTTAATTAAGTTAATTATCGAATTATGTTAATTGGTCGTACAACTATACGGCGATAAGGCGATAACGGTTAATGTGATACTGATAATAATCTAAAGTAATCCTTACTTATATTAATAAGCGACATCTACCGGAAGTATAATAAAGCACTAGCACTGATTTTCCTCAAACCTAACTCTAACATCAACATCAACTGTTAATCTTGTTATTGACATTTCAATAAATCAATCCTTACTTATATTATAAAGTTTGTATGTATTGATGAATGTTTGTTACTCTTTCACGCAAATACTACTGAATGGATTTTAATAAAACTTTATACATCAGAATAAAACATAGGCTATAATTTATATACATATTTTATGTATTTCTGTCTGAATATTACGTCTTCAGTCTATTTTACGCAGACGTAGTCGCGGACAGCAGATAGTTCAATCATATTTTAACAAACAACAAGTTATTTTTATAAAAAACACCGCATTGAAATTTATTTCCGATGTGTCCCTTTAGCGTTTCTCTTCACTGACACGAGATGGCGTTAATTTAAATGTGAAGTTACTGTTTTATTGGGGTTTACTCGAGGGTTACTGTTTTATTTGAAATATGTAGTTATAAAATGAATATTCAATATCACTCACCATCCGTTCGGGTTTAGTTTTTCCTTTTCCCAATCCTTATCGTTGTCCTTCATTGTCGACACTTAACGACACTTGTTAGTTAAACGTTTACAACAAAGATCGTAGCATATTCTTGACGTCACTTTAGCACTAAGCGATATAAGTGTCTCGTGTTATCATTACGCTGGTTGAAGTGAACATATGATTGTGGAGTGACATGAACGAGACTATTTGCGATATATGTTAGCGTCTCCTTTAGCAATGAGATGGCGTTAGGCGAGGCGAGTCTGTACTCGGTGGCCGCGATAACCGCGGAACGCGGGATAGTTTTCAAATTTCGAATAGAAAGACTAACAAGTCGGAACGAATAGCTGGTTTAATTCAGTTAGGGGCCGTCCATTAATCACGAGATGTTTTTTTAACCTTTTTTTTACCCTCCCCCTTGGTGATACGTGGTGAGGCTTGAACTACCCCCCACCCCATCCAAAATCTAGTGTATTTTTTATAATGTCATTTTTAAATACAGGTATAAAGCATAAACCAGTTTTTATTCTGAAATTAAGGACCATGATAAAAATGTATCGGCGAGTCAGGGTCACGCCGCTTTTCAGTTTAGAGATCGCTCTTTTGACGAAAAAATAAATACATGTGATATCTTACACCCCTTGTGATATTTCGTGATTTTCGTCCTCCACCTCTTTCGAGCCTCACGTGATTAATGGACGGCCCCTATGGCTCAGTGGATGGGACGTAGGACTTGCGTCACACTACCTCAGGTATGGACCTGCCAAATTGTGCAATAGCCGAGGTTGTTGCGTGCATGGCCCTACTTGTATGTATGTCGGTATTTTCTAATAAAACCGTTCCACGTCTGGCCATCGTCTAGCACTCACTTGGCACGTGCCGCACACCACGTGACGGCAATTGAGATTATAATCGATAAGAATAATATCTCAATTGGTATATAAGAGATAACTCTGGTAGGTTTACCATAAGCCCCAGTCTAGAGAGATCTTGGACGTACAATGAAAACTAAGGGTAAAATTGAGATACATTAACAAACTTTAATGTGTGCGTATCATTGCAAGCGCTTCAATAAATTAATCTTAATTTTATCATTAATTATGCAAAAACCCTTATCCATTATAACAAAAAAATTATTGTCCTTAATCATACAAAAATCATGGTTCCTTTGGATACGAACGATACGATTAGTCGAAGCGCTAATAGGTTACTATACAATAATTTTTCGCCTTTGCGTGCAATGTGCGAGTGTCTATATGTATAAGTGCTAATTTCTAATGGTCGAGGCAAATAAAAATGTACACAATAATGTTATATGTTGACGGGAACACTCAACGGTGATAGGGCCACGCAGCAGCCTCCGCTGTTGCACAAATGGGTAGGCCCGTCCGGGTACCAAGTACCACGACCTCACAGAAGACCAGCGTAAAGTGGAAGTATGACAAATACTTTCGCGTTTCGTCTGGTGAGTGAGGTAGCCGGAGCCCAATTTTCAAAAGGTTGTCAACGCATTCGTAACGAATTTTATCGCGTTCAGTGAGTCTGTTTCGCTAACGTTTCGCTGTTCTGTCCGATAACGTTGCGATTTTATATAAGAAAAAAGTAGACGAAAAAGAAACATTCTATGTATGTCCCACGGCTGGGCAAAGGCCTCCTTTGTACCGGGCATAGTTCATCACGCGACCACGCGTGAATATACAGGTTTTCATCGCTGTGCACGCGATAAGTACGCACTTGGAATTATCAATTTCATTGGTGCTGGCACTGGGATTTGATTCCGGACGCTAAGTTATGACGGTTTATAATTATATTGTTTTATGACAATTATTTTTTATTCGGCGCAGTGTGAAGGCGTTTTTCGTCAATATCGTTTGAAAAATACTTAATGATACAGCAACGTCGTATCCATACGCAGTGGTATGCTCTTGTTTATCTAACTTATCGAGATTTTTTCGATCTATTTCAGTTTTGATAACAAAACTAGTTTTCACATAAGTGAATAATTACAAAGCTTTTTGAATAATGCATATTATTAATGGCTGCAACAAAACAGCGAGAAACAATAGAAAGAAGATGGGAGCTCATCAGCGCTGGAAACACCGATTCGAACTTGTAATGTCAGATTGGGAGCCTGTAAGTAAATAAATAAATAAGAAATGCTCCTACCAATCGGCACATTTATTTGGGCTGTTGTTGAAAAAAAAAAGTAAAAATATAAGTGTGTAAATGATCGTGACACGAACAAGGGCCTTCTGCTTCGGGGCCGCCCGATTACCGACCGAGCTAATATAACATTTTTTGTTTCGGTGAGTAATATTTCAATTTCCAATTCTAGTATCTATATACAAGAATTGCTCGTTTAAAGGTTTAAGATGTATTTTGAGGCATCGAAATTATTGCATCAATAAACAATTTTCGTTAACAAAAGCTGCCAAGTTCCTTGAGATCATAAAACTCAATAAAAAAAAAACTGATTTCGCTTTATGATGTGTTGGAAAATATTTTGATTGAGACGACTAATAAATAATAAGTGAGGTGATCATTATTATTTGACCGTATCACAGAGCAATCTAAGAAAACACGTTGTTGCTGTTTTATGAGAGATAAATACTAAACAGTGTGTACTAGTACATTCACAGGATAACGCAATCCCGAGATAGCTCGCAACACTTGCATCAGTACCATATCTTAACCTTTTCAGACCTGTGTATAACTGAGGACATGACGTTTTGTTAGTATTTATCCTACTAAAATTTATTATTACGCAATAAGAAAATTTTGTCGTCGCTCGAGAACATTTATTTATTTATTTATACTTTATGCACAAACTGTACAGAGGCGGACTTAATGCTACAGGCATTATCTCCCAGTCAACCTTGGGGTGGTACAGACATTCGGTAGGTGCACAGAACATTATGAACTACTAAAGACTATTTCACAAACGCTATACTTTGCCACCTTAATCAACATTATCGTCACCATTTCAGCCTGTTAGTCCACTACATAGGCCTCCCACACAGACCGCCAAGAAGCACAATCCTGAGCCACCTGCATCCATCGACTTCCCACACACTTGCACAGGTCGTCGCTCCATCCAGTTGGGGGTTGTCCTACACTCGATGGCCAATAACGGTCTGCTACTCAAGAACCTTTCATCCCCATCGGTTATCGGTTCTTCGAGCTGTATGACCGACCCATCGCCACTTAAATAATAAGAAGTATTACATAATAACCGCTTACGAACGGGCCGGGCTAATGTTTACTATAACTCAATTTAGTATGTTTGCTTATAATCCCCACACTTATTTAAAACTAGGCGTAGCCCGCAGCGACACCTGTATTCGATGTATAAGATTTTAGTTCGAAACAAAGAGAATCATGTGTCAACACAGTATTGAAATCCATACGATTTACCAGACCGAAGTGTAAGCTGTCTCTATTTGAAATTTCATTTCAAGCCGTTCGCTCGGCTGCTAATATTTAAACAATAGCAATTAAAAATGAGTGCGATGTCTCAATTTAATTAGTAGTTTTTGGATAAAGCTGTTTTGTGATATGATTGCATAATTTTATCGCGGTTGTTTTAAGATTTTCACCCCCGACACTGAGTACTTGGCACCATGATTTTTTTTATTCATGTGAGAAGGTGGCAAACGAGCTGGCGGTTCACCTGGCGTTAAATGATAACCGCCGCCCTTGAACATTTACAACATCCGAAGGGTAGCAGATGCGTTGCCACCTTTAAATCTGACTCCGGTTACCTCACTTACCAGACGAAACGCAATAACAAACGGGGTAGTCACTTAATAGTGATTCTCGCCTCCTCAAACCAATCTAATATAATTAAGTAATATTGTAGTTAATATAATTAATTAATATCATGATTATATAATGATTATTACTTAATCTTTACATTAATAAAAATAATAATGTTAGAGGTATTAACTGTTTACATAAAATTACATTACTTAACGAAATAATTTTTAAAGAAGTGGATTACATTATCGTACTGCTGCAATATAGATAATATTCAAAAGTTAACAGTCCTAATAAAAAAAAAAGACTGAAACGGGTAATCATCAAACACCATTTACCTCGCAAGCATAAGTACATTTGAAAAATATATATTTATATGATTCTAAATGAGGAGCATCGGAACAAAAACCGATATATCACATATTACATTTTTTCGGGAAATTCCATGGATATCCAATTTAGAGATGAACAAAGTTTACTTGTATCTAGATTTATGTGTGCAGTATTTTATGAGAAATTTAAAAAATCAAAATGGATTATCAGACTGAAGGATATGTCCTATTTTTTTATGTATTCGATTTATTTCTCGCATTCCTAGTTTGTTATGACATGTTTCTAGGATTTTTGCCATTATTTAAACTTTAACTTAAAAGAAAATAAAATTAACTCGATTTTCTCCATGAATTTCCTCAAATATATTTACTTCAAATGAAGTACAATAGGACTTTCTAATTATTATCCTATTACCGAACGAAACAATTAACTTGTCAAAAATAGCAATCGCAGAGATTTCCCGCGCGCGGCTCACATTAGCTGTCAATTTACAACAGTTTTTTTTTTAATTTATCGACCACGGGCCATTTTGTTGTCATGGCCATTTTTGTTTGGTCAATGTCAATAATCAAATGTGTTAATTATAATATGTTCACGTCATATTACTTGCGTGCCGAATGTAGTTATTTTATGTAGAATTTATTACTACCTGAACATTGTTCTTAAGGAAATTTTGCAGGATCTTGGCGTTAAAAACATAGATGATGTTACTGCGCGCGAAAAATATTAATAATAACTAACTAATAGTATTTCCGCGAAAACTTTAATTTATTTTAAAATTAGGTAACTTGAAATATATTTTGATGAATTTTGATGAGATTGAAAATAAATGCACATTGGGAAAATATACTATATAAGTATGTGTATTAAGTCTTCGCTTTCCGTGTTTGAATTTAACCTTTAAGTCAGAGTCATAAAGCTGAAATTCATATTATAAAAAAATTTATAGTCACAAGACATT